ATTATATGTTGGTTTTTAATAATAAATGTAAAAAGTGTAACAATATATGTAATGCAATACACTTTCAACATAAATTCATAGATTGGACTAGCGGTAATGATGATATTGACAAATTTATTCAAGATAGCCAGTTGTTAGCTCATAATCGCACATATAATGTAATAGAATGGGTTCCGTATAATAGATTTTATGATATTAAATATATTGCAAAAGGTGGGTTTGGCAAAGTGTATAAAGCAAATTGGATTGATGGATGTATAATGTACCGAAATAGTTGGGATGATGAAAATCAAAATTGGAAAAGAGAAGATCAGAATATGTTTGTAGCTCTGAAAAGTTTAAATAATTCAAAAAATGTCACATCGGAATTTATGAATGAGGTATAGTGCATTTATTTAATTCAATTTAATTTATTATTAATAATTAAAATACTATTTATTTACATTTATATATAGATTAAATTACATAGTAGAGTAAGTGGAGGTATTATTATAAAACTTTATGGAATAACTCAAGATCCAGAAACAGAAAATTATATTATGGTTTTGGAATATGCAGACAGTGGAAGTTTGCGGCATTTTTTAAATACAAGATTCAATGAATTAAATTGGTTCAATAAGATTACATATTTATGTGATATTGCATTTGGGCTTAGAACCATTCATGAAAATGAACTAATTCATCGAGATCTGCATACTGGCAATATACTAATAAATAATAATTACATAAAAATAACTGATATGGGATTATGTAAACCTGCAAATTATAATGCATCAGAAAATAAAAAAAACTGTGCATATGGTGTTTTGCCATATATAGCTCCTGAAATTTTAAGAGGAAGGAATTATTATACTAAAGCTGCTGATATTTATAGTTTTGGTATAATAGTGTACGAAATAATTTCTGGATTACCTCCATATTATGATGTGAGCCATAATAATCATTTAGCAATAAAAATTTGTCACGGGCTTAGACCAAGATTTAATATTAAGGTACCACAGTTAATTATGCATTTAATTAAAAGATGTTTAGACTCGGACCCATTAAATAGACCAACAGCAAAAGAAATTTATGAAATTTTTGACCCATCACAATTATCATATGATACAGAATTACAAAGACAAATTGAAAAAGCAGATGTAATAAATAATAAATTATTAACTGAAAATACGCAGACTAGTTTAGAATTATTATATAAAACACATTCGGAAGCTATTTATACAAGTAGATTGCTTAATTTTAATAATCTTCCCAAACCAAAAAATTCTGATGATTATTATGAGCGAAGTGATAATATAATAAGCAAGGAATTTTCAGGTATTACCGTTAAGCAATATATTAATTGTTACTTTTGTAAATATATTTAGTTAATATTATACTAATAATAAACTTTTTATTAAATAGAATCTTTACAACTTAGGTTTTCTCAATTGAATATTAATAAGAAAGGTAAATATTTTACTTGTGGTATAACTTTAAAATACCTAGTTTATGATTACTGATAATGAAATATTAATTTATTAAATAGAATCTTTACGGCGTAATATTTCTCAATTGAGTACTAATGAGAATGGTAAATATAATAACTTTAAGATACTTAGTTTATAAAATACAAATAATAAATATTTATTCATTAAATAGAGTCTTTACAAATCAACATTTCTCAGTTGAATATTAATGAGAGTGGTAAATATAACGACTTTAAAATATTCTTAATTCATAAATACTAACAATAAGTCTTAATTTATTAAATAGATTCTTTACAACTCAATATTTCTCAATTGAATATTAATGAAAATAGTAAATATTAATTTTATATAATAACTTTATATTTCAGTTTTCATTTGTAATTTAATGTATTATTTTTTTCTTAGGTCAAAATAACGAAGCTGAAGGTAAAAGAAAAAAAATTAGATTAGAAGATTAGATTAGAATAATAGTATAATTATATATCTTTCTGCTACTATATCAAAGTTTTACTATAAAATTACTCTTTTTGTTATTACAATTTAAAATTCTGCTTAACCTTAAAATCCAGATGGACGGGTCTAATTATTTTTAAATGATTTTTTTTTTTTTTGCTTTTCTATAGTTATTTGAATTGCAATTTTTTTTTTGTTTTTATATATATGGTTAAAAATAGATGGGAAACTGGGAATAATGTTAGGTAGAATTTTAAGTTGTAATGATTTCATATTTATGTTTGCATCAATTTTTTTTTTTTTTCAAATAAATAACGATTTAAAATTTTAAAGGAGTGTGATAAAATAATAAAATTCCATGTAGTGTGAACATAACCCAGATAGCATAAATACAAAGACGATTTATTATTGCAAATTTATAAATTAACTTGGTGATATCTTACGATTGTAATATTTTTTTATTAACGAATGCAATTATCTGATGATTTAAGAAGTTCTTTAGAAACTGTTGTTATTAAAATACTGATATAGAATGAAAAAAGATGAATTTAGTACATTTAAATTGATTAAAATCAGAAATGCATAAAAAAGATATCTTACTGACTAACCTTTAAAAAATGCAAATGTATTAATTTACTTGTATTTAAAATGGTGACTTCAATCTATTTTTCCAAATTATTACTGATAGCGTGATTGCTCCGAAATTGAGTAATACGTTAGTACTAAAAATAAACAATAAAAAATTTAAATTCACCTTTGGTGAATTAATTTTAAATTAACCTCTGATAAAAGTAAAATTAATTCTTATTTATTACCATCGCATATTTTTTTTTCTTCCTTCTTTTTTATTGAATTACTACGACAGAGCCGTGATGATAGATCAAGGCTGACCTGTGCTTTGTACTGAAACTAACATCCTAAAAATAATTCCAATCTACTGATCATAAACTTTTTGGTATCTAGACGACGTTCGTAAAAATATCAATAAAGGAAGAAACGTGTTTGCACATAATGTGAAAACATCTTTGGAACAAAATTCAGATGTATAATATAATATAGATGATCACGGAAAATATAATGATATTGTTAACTACTCTTCTTTTAAGTTATGTTTTCAATTCTAGCATAAGGTTCTTAATTGAACCAATTAACTATCAATCATTGATTTGATATCAATCAAACAATTTGGCCTCGATTAAAATTGAACGATCGATCATGATATGGTACATAAATAAATCTGTATAGAAGAGGTATAGAAGATACTTTGATTATAGTAAATGAATAAAATAATGAATTAATAAAAAATATTATAATAAAATAAATTAATTATTGTAAAAATGTGCAACGTTTTCAATGTTCAATCGTTTAAATTGAGTAAAAAATCGATTGTACGTGATCAATCAAGGTTAATCGATTTTTGAATTTTGATCGATCACGAACTCAACTTTTTGAGTCGATTAAAATTTCTTAGTTAACAACTTTAATCATTTTTAACACTCAAAAGGAATAATTATTTAGTACATTATTTAGTTCATCATCGAGTTTTATATAAATTACAAGTTTTTGATTATCATATTTATTAATTAAATACACACGTTATTTTTTTTTTGCCAAGGCTCAGAGGCTATAATAAGTACTTTAATAATTAATACACTATCATCATGATTAACAAGCCATTTATTGTGATTTCGGCATATCAAATCAACATAATCAGATTCACCCGGTTAATTTGGAATATGATAGATGATACATTTACTAAATTTTACGACGTATTTAATAAAGTCTTTTCTATTTTATTTATATAGGAGCTGCTTACTATCAATAATAAACCAAATTATTCCCAATTTATTGACAAAATATCATTATTTAGTTCATTTTGTAGGTTAAACAGGTTATCTTATTCTAATAAAGAAAATATTATCATCTAAACTAAATCTATTTATATTTTTGATCCTCCTAATCTAGATCTAGTATTTAATAAGTTCGTTTGCCTTTTTCCATAACTTATAAATGAAAGGTATATAGTCTCAAAGAATTTAACATATGGATGAAGTCGTTCTACTTGGTTGGTATAAAATAAGTCCACAAACGTATCGGTAAAAAAACCAAATCCATGAGCGTTTGAGACGGTGGACATTGGTCATAACAGGAACAAAGTACACCATCGGCGATAACTGACTCAGCTCGTGTGTGGAAACGAATGTACTTATCATGCAATTCCTGTTTAAAATATCAAGGTGATTAATAACTTTTACAGTATTAATAATTTTAAAAATAGATTAAAACTTACGATTGTTACATCATCCACAAAGACTGAAACTAGCTTATTGTTATCATTTGATACCAATATTTTTGTTTCTCCGGGACGCAGATCTTTGGCAAGTATGATCGATAAATTTTCATCAAAGACATAATGAGTAGTTGTAAGCCGTAATTGACCTAAAAAATGTGAAAATGGATAAAATAAGTAAACAATTTATTCTTTAGTAAATCACAATAAATCTAATAAATAAAATGCCTTTAGATCCATCCGGTCTAGTAAAGCTGATTTTAGCAAATTCCTCTTCATGTTCGAGTTTACCAATATGAGCAATAAGACAAACTTCAGAGTATTCAGCAATACCATTTCTTATGTTTGATAACACCCGATCTCCTGTTTTAAGTTCTGACATTTGAATAATCCTTCCTGATTCAAGTTCGACTTGTGTCTCAAGCCCAAAACAATTTTGATTCTCTTTAGCCTTTTCGTGTTCAGCCTTTTCGTGTTCTCCCCTTTCGTGTTCCTTGGTAAGATTAGCCACTTTCTCATTAAGGCTCTCATTATCCTTGGTTAGATTAGCCACCTTCTCACTTAGGATATTTATTTGTATAAGTAAAGTATCCTTAATATTTTTTATTTCCATTTTTCGTCTTTCATTTGCTTTTCTCTCATCTTCTGCTCTCTGCTTCTCATAATTTTTCCTTGCAATAGCTTCGCCTTCTCTCTTTTTACTTTCATCGTATTCTTTTTGTCGTTTCACTTCCTCTTCTCTCGTTTTTCTTTCATTTTCTTCCTGTTCTTTCCAGACCTTTTCGAGCAGTTCATTCGTATACTTTCCATCTATAGAGACGATATGATTTTTTAAATCTTCGAGGCGTTGCTTACGTACAGGATTATTAGGTGGGTAACTTTCTGGATTCGGAGAAATGGCCCACCGACTACCCATGGAATTGACGAAAGCCTTTATTTCCTGATTCCAAGAAAACTTTTTAAAATACTCAAGATCTTCGGTCTGCTTACGACTACAATGGGAAAAGACAGAAATCATGTATTGGAGAGACTCTTTTCCTAGAAATAATTTTATTCTGTCGACCATTTCCTTTTGTTCTATCGTGAACCGTTTTGCTTCTATATAAACAACATTTTAAATATTTTAAATATATTATACTCTCTATCATGAATGCAATTATGTATATTCTATATTCTCACACACCAATTACAAATAATATGGCTTTAATCCCATAAGCACATTTTTGGATGGTTCGAGAAATTTTTTCTAGGACAACTTCGTTGGGGTTATCAGTGTCAAAAATTCCTGGCGTATCGACAATGTTATAATTTTCATCACCAATTTGAATCCTCGCAAAGCTAGAGTTCTGAGTAACCGTTGACTAATCATTTAAAATTAGAAACTAATGTAAATGAAATTATTTAAACTCGAATACATTTTTTTTTTTTTTTACTTACAAAGCTATCAGAGAAATTGAAAGTCGGTTTTTCATCTTCATAGGTTCCCAACAATAAATTTCCTAATGTACTTTTGCCAGCGCCTTTCAAGCAAATGTAAAGTATATTTTCAATTAAAAAAAAAGTTAATTCATTGAAAAGAAAGACAATGATATCAAGGCATACCCGCTTTTCCGATTAAGAGTATGGCTGGTGCGTTAATATCCGATAATGGTAATTGAGACGGCTTCGGGGTGTTGAATCTGTAAAATATCTTTGAGGTAAATTCAAATATATCAGTTATTAATGAAAATTAATACGAACTATTATTAAAGTTTTCGCGTATCAAGAATAATTACTTACATATGCTATTACGGGAATTAAAATAATCAAAAATGGTAATTTTCCGTAAGTATATATTTTGTGTTTATATTGATCAATTTGTATAATAAATTGGTTATAAACAGTAGGTTGAGATTGTACAGAAGGTTGACGTTGTCTATTTCTCAGTACTAGTCGATTTATTGTAGTAAAATTGAAAAAAAAATATTAAAGATATGTTTAAACTTTATAAATATTTATAAAAAAAAAAAAAAAAAAAAATATCGTAATAATAATATAATAAATGATAACAATAATAATACCTGAATTAATATTGTTTAAAATTTCACTTCCACTAGCTCTAGATGAACGAAGATTTCCTTCATCCGGTGTGATTGTATCATCTTTCATATTTTTATCTCAATATATTTCAAAGATTTTCGAGGATAGAAAATTTTTCTTGAATTTCTAAAGAGATTGTTTATTTGTGATTATCACGAACAAATTCTGAAAAATTGCTATATTTGTCTATTTATCACGCCAACTTTTCCTTATTTGATTTTTAAAAAAAAGACGTATAATATTTGCTGCGTCACAAAAAATTTTAGATTTTTGTCTTAGAAAAATTTGTAGTTTTGTTTTAAGAGAAATAATAGAGCAAGAGATATTTATCTTGAAAAAATATTTGCAAAGAAACGTTTATTTAAAATATTTTATATAATTCTTTTTACTTTATAAAATTTAACGGTTTGGTTTTTTTTTTAAAAAAATAAATTATTTGTACTAATTTTAGAAATAAATCTTTATATTAACTATGTAATAATTGTTAATAAAAAGATAATTTTTATAATGAAATTCTTCTTTCAAAACTTGATAGTTCACCTTTATACTTTCAAGGTTGCAAAAAATTTTTAAAAATTTATATTTAATATATAAAAACTCGTTTTTATTTTTTACAACAAAATAAAGTAATAAAATAGTAGAATAAACTACAATAAAGCAATATTATGTGGAAAAACACGCAAAATACTAAATACTGGGGTGAGAATTGTGAAAAATATTATTATCTGAAGGTCTATATAATTATGCTTATGTGTTGCGAAGTCCGTTTGTCCGGATGCATTACATCACTTGATATTTGAGCTACATCAATAAAAAAAATATAACTAAGATAAAATAAAAAATAAAATTTGTGATATACAGATAAATAAGATAATAGAATTTATCGCTTCGGACTCAACGGTTTCAATTTTCTAGTTTTATTGCGGCCTATACTCTATTTTATCGGTCCATACAATACGTGCCCTCTCGTGACATTTTATAGCAATATTTTTTTTAATCATAAATGTCTACAGTATGTTTGAGATGGATAGTAATATAACTTTAATAAAAGAATTGCAAGCTTGGTCAGGCAAAATTGACTAAAGAAGAATTAGAGCACCAGCAGCTTGTATTATTCTTGGTTTCATGCAAGCAGCAGGAAAAGATTACTAATTAAAGCTGCAAGATTCACAATTACACGTCATATTAACTTGTATTCTAAATACGTCGTCCTCAAGATATTAATAACAAGAATTTCCATCCAGATTTATATAACGCTATAACTGGCATTACAGAAAGTGAAATTCAATCAATTGTCAATCATCCAGCAATGCAACCTGAGGATTGTATTTTTTGACATAATTAATTGAGTTAGCTTTATTTACGAGGTGGTGAACATTATGATTTAAAATATATTTTGTCAAAATAAAGTACGTGGTATTGATATAATAATTTTTTATCAATGATGTAATGATTTATAAATTTTTACCGCATCGTATGATTTTATGTGTCTCATACTTTTATCTTTCATTTTAAAAGTAAATAAATAGATTTTTTTTTTTCATTCTTGTACTAAGTACTACATTTTTTTTTTTTTTTTGATAATTGATACAAGAAATTATTTATTTTATATTGTAAATAAGTGGAATTTTTCTAAATTAATTTAATTTATTTCATCGGGAAATTTTTTTGGAGGATAAATATCGATATTAAATGCATGTTTAATTTTATCAATAAATTTCTGTAGTGATAATTTATCAATCCTGTATAGATTTGCGTTATGTAACATGATATTATATTACGAGATTATTTAACAATCACGTGCATTATATCATGTGACACGACTTTCCGTTAGTTAAACTACTAAGACGCGACGATAAGTTTATTTTTTTTAAACTTTTTTTTTAGTTTAATTAACCATTTCCTTCGCCCATCCCCATTTACACTCTTCTACCCTTCTTTTTCCCTTCACCCACTTCACCTTTTTACGCTTTCTTTTTTCTTTTTTTTTCATTTTCACCTTCTCTTCATCTTCCCATCATTTCTTTTTGTTTCCCATCATTTCTTTTCGTCTCCCATCACTCCCTTTTGTCTCTCATCACTTCTTTTCGTCTCTCATCATGTCCTATTTCTCCTTTTTGTTTCCTCTATTACTTTCCATTACTCCATTGTTAGTGTAACATAATATTATAATTAATTAAAAATAAGTTAAATAAGTTACTACGAGGCTATTTAACAATCACGTGTATCATATCATGTGACACAACTTTCCATTGATTAACTACTAAAACGCGACGCGATAAGTTTATTTTTTTAAACTTTTTTTTAAAAGTTTAATTAAACATTACTTTCGCCCTTTCCCATTCACATTCTTCTACCCTTCTTTTTCCTTCCCCCTCTCACCCATCTTTCTTTTACACTTTCCCTTTCACCCACTTCACCCCTTTTTACGCTTTCCCTTTTCTTTTTTTTTCATTTTCACCTTTCATTTCATTTCATTTTTTTCTGTTTTTTTTTATTGGCAGTTTGATTATTTTAGCATTAAAGCTTAAGCTTTTTTTAGTTTAAACTTTTTTTCGTAAATTTTCCTTTTCCTTTTCCTTTTCATTCTTTTCCCTTTCCCTTTCTTTCATTTTTTCCCTTTCCCTTTTTCGTTTTTTCCCCTCCCTTTCTTTCCTTTTTTCCCATATCCCTCTCTTACTCGTCTTCCTTTCTCTTTGCTCCTTCTCTCTTCCTCCCTTTCCCTTTTTCTAGGCATTCTTCGGTCTCTTTAGATGCACATTCCGGTCAAAAATTACTAATAGAATCAGAAAGATTTAATAACACCCCTCCGTGTGTTCCATTTACCATTGAAGAAGAAATATTTGGGCCCCAATATGAAGGTGTACTCGACAGAAGTATCCCTTATCGCAATATTCAACTCACTGGTAAATCTTTTGCCTTTGAATTTCCTTAGACTCACCATTTTGGTATAAAGACAATTGTTTTTTTTTATTTTAATTTTTTTATTATTTTAGCGAACTTTACTAACAGTTCTTTTTCTTTATTTTGTAGAAGGTCAGTTCTTTGGATTTCGAAGGAAGGGTATCAGTATTTTTTTTAAGGTAGTTATCAGATTTGTTTTTAAAAAATAATGAAACGATCATTATTATTTCATTATTTTCTTTTTTTTCATGTGATCGTGATCAGGTTCATCAGATCTCAAGGTAGATATCGGGTTTTCATTTTAAAAAAATATTTTTTTTTAATGAAACGATATTAAGGTTTCATTATTTTTCTTTTTTTTAGGAGACCAGTTTCTCGAATCCCCTTGGATGTGGATTTTTGTTAGGATGAAAGACCTATTATCAATATTAATTACAATTTGCCACAATCACGAGACCAATTTGTCAATGAACATCGGTGAAACTTTATAATTTGTGATGATTTAAGGTGGATATCAGTTTTTATATTTTTAAAAAAAGTTATATCCTTTTAACGAAATGATTATTAACATTTCGTTACTTTTCTTTTTTAGGTGATCGGTACATCAAATCTCTAGAGGTGGATTTCAGTAAAGGTAGAAAAGAGTTGGTAATGTACTATTTCTTTTATCAAAACGTTTTGTAGGTGGGTTCAGACCTTTATAAATGAACGATATTACAATAAGATTAGTAGGGTATCATTGGGATCCAATTAGATACATAATAGATTTGTATAGTTTTAGTATAGAATTTAGTATAGATTTAGCATAGAATTCAAATGTATTTTATTGATATGATAATAAAACTGAACCACATTTAACAATAAAGTAATTTAATGTTATCTAACAATAAATAATATATTGTTATTTAATACAATAAATAATCTAACATTATTTTACCATAAGATAATAATCGTTAGTGATGATCGATAGTTGTTGATTTAATCACATCGTTAATAATCGACGAGTGCGATTATTATCGATATATATCACATTTTATAAATAAATGGGATATATATCGATAAAGTGATATATATCGCTATATATCTAGGGATGGGCGTTAATTAACCGTTAATTATGTTACTTATAATTAGTTTAAAATGGTTAATTAACCGTTACTTTAAATCAACCAATAAAAATGCAGAATTTAAGTCATGTGATTTTAATTATAATTTGATAATTATTAGTAAAAAATGGTATAGTCTGTGATAGTGATAATAGTACTATACTTGAATTTGAATCAAATGTAATAAGTTTAGATAATGAAAAATAAAAAAAATATATAAGATTTATTATAATCATTTTAATAAATAAATAAATTTCATTGTTTTATTTTATTATTTATAAAAAATAAATATATTAGTTAACTATAGGTTAATTAACCGTTAATTAACCGTTAATTAACCAGTTAATTAACCAAATTTATAATTAACCGTTACTTTCCCATCCCTATATATATCACCTGTAAAATTTCCTGATGTTGCCAGTAAAAAAAAATAACAATATCACGTAAAAAGGAGTATACATATAACTGTACTGTACGGTTAGCTAAACTGTACTGTACAAAGTGATAACTCACCAATCAGATTTTATTGTACGATAAATAAAAAAATTTGATACCGGCGTTACCGGCGTTTCCCCAAAAAAAGCACTGGTCACGTGCCCATGTAAAAAATCATCACATCCGTCACACTCCTCAGTGTTTTCATTGTTTATATTTATCTGAGGGACGTTTTTTTTGAGTTGGTAAAAACTTATTCGTCACACATTATTTGTCACCGTACTGTTCACGTGACAGCGCATAATTCCGCCACCAGTGGGGTAATGGCCGGTAACGCTAGGGTAGTTAGATGTTAAATAAAAAAATTTGAAAAGTATACAATGAGTTATGATTAGCTGAAATAATTTCGTCAGTATGCCTTTTATAGGTTATCGATAATTTATCTCCAACTGAAGACGTGTTTTACGCAAAAATTTTCTAGTAAATATTAATATATTTTATTATCTATTAATGTAAGAATTTTTTTTTTATAATTATGACCTCAGTATTTTTTTCCTCTTAATTTAATTTGAATTTAGTCTCCTTTTACGAGGTAGATAGATAAACTGTACTGTACAGTCAGCTAAACTTTAATATGTTTCTAAAGGAAAAAAAAAATGATTTTATTGTTTACTATGCAACAAATATTTTTTATGAAATCTGGTTTAATCTTTTTAACCTATTCAAATCAAAAATACCCTTCCTATTAATTATAATATACTGTACCACAGAAAAATAGTCCGCAAAAATCGACATAATACTATTGAAAACGGTGTTCCTAAAGGATGGAGGAATTTTATTGAAATAAGATTTAAAGTTACTAGATTCCTACTGATATTATGGAATCATATTGTTCATAGGATAAAGATTGGATGACAGATGTAATGAAAGTGAAATCATTGCATACACATGTCACTTTCAAGTTACTTTCAAGTTCGTATAATCATATTTTACAATTACGAATTTAAATTGAAATTTTTAATTTACTCTTATATCTTTCTTCTTCAATAGCCATTCCTCTAATTTAGTTTGCAATAAAGAATAAAAAAATATTTAAAATCACAATTTTTTGTAAGAAAAACTAAACGTTAAATAGAACCAAATTATAATGTGAAAAAAATTCTTAAAAATAATACATGAAATAAAAAAAAAATGACAAAATAAGAAAGTAGGAAAAAAAATAACAAGGTAAAAAATAACAAAAATAAAAAAATAAAACAAATAACGAAAATAAAAAGAAAAAAATTAAAAATAACGAGACTAAATAAAAAATAAAAACAAATGTCTTATATCAGTAGTATTTTATTTTATATCGCATAATCATCGTTAGTATCTTATTGTGAAATATCAATTTGTAATGATTCTATTTAACAAATTAACAAAATAAAATTAGGTTAGTATTTATAAATCTTACTAATTTGTAAGTATTAAATTAATACCTGAATATTCCATGCTCGTTATGTCATCATTTTGTTCAAAATTAAAATCTTTTGATTTATGATTAATATCATTGATGTTCAATTGAGAAACATCAATTTGTTGAGACAACGATGCTATTTAATAATAAGTAATATTTTAGTAACATTCTTTAATAATTATTCTAAATATTTTTTTTTTCGTTAAAAATACCTGAAAATTCTAAACTTATTATGTTATCAGTATGTTTATAGTAATCATCGGAATTTTTTGGTTCGGGAAGATTATTAAACTTAAGTAGTCTACTTGTATAAATCGCTTCGGAATGTGTTTTATATGATGATCCTAAATTAGTCAAAGGAATACTATCTTTTGTTGAATTGTTATTTATTCCTTCTGCATCTTTAATTTGTTTTTGTAATTCAACTGTTTGACTATCACTTCTTTTATACTGCCATTTGTATAAAATATCGCTAATTTCTTTTGCCATTGGTCTATTTATCTGATTTGCATCTAAGCATCTTTTAATTAAATAAACAATCAATTGAGGTACTTTAATATTAAACCTCGGTCTGAGTCCTTTACAAATTTTTATAGCTAAATTTTCATCATGACCAATATCATGATATGGAGGTAATCCAGAAATTATTTCATACATAATTATACCATAACTATAGATATCTGAAGCTTTTGTATAATTTTGTCCTCTTAAAATTTCAGGAGCAATATAAGGCAAAACGCCATATATGTTATTTTTTGCACCTTCCGATGGATTATAATCTGCTGGTTTACATAATCCCATATCAGCTATCCATACCTTAATTATAGACATTAGAATATTTCCACTATGTAAATCTCGATGAATAAATTTATTTTCATGAATATAATCAAGTCCACGTGCAATTTCAAGTAAATGACTAATTTTTCTATTCCAATTTAATTTATTATAATTTGTATTTAAGTAATTTCGTAAGCTTCCATCATCCGCATATTTTAAAACCATAATATAATCTTTTGTATTTGGATCTTGAGTTATTCCATAAAACCCGATAGTAAAATTTTCAAAATCACTAAATTTACTATGTATTGCAATCTAAGTATAAAAAAAAATGTCAATTGGAAATTAAATTTTAAATATTCAAATCAAAAAAATGAATACATTGTAATACCTCATTCATAAAATCAAATGTAATATTTTTTGAATTATTTATACTTTTTAAAGCTACAAGCATATTTTGATATTTTCCATCGACCCAAACTGCTTTATATACTTTACCATGTCCACCTTTTGCAATATATTTGATATCATGGAATTTATCATAAGGTATCCATTCTAATGCTTCAGTATTATAATGTGCTGATAGCTGAGTATCTTGAATAAACTTGTCAATATCATTATTACCACTAGTCCAATTGTTGAAATTTCTTTGAAAATTTATTGCATTGCACACATAATTACATTTTTCACATATATCTTCCAATACCATCATATAACTTTTTGTTTCCGCATCCTGAGTTATTCCATAAAACACATGATCTATTTTAATCTAAAAATATAATATATTAGTAAAAATGAATTTTATTAAATAATAGCATATATTTATTACCTTGTTCATAAATTCTGATGTGACATTATTTGAATTATTCAAATTTTTCAAAGTTACAAACATATTTTGATTACACCTTTTCAATTTATGGTTTTCATCATCCAACTTATCTATACATCCATCAATCCAATTTGCTTTGTATATATTATTTTCTACAATATATTTAATACCATAAAATCTATCGTAAGGTATCCATTCTAGTACGTGTGATATTTCATCATCTTTATGAACTGATAATTGAGCATCTTGAATAAATTTATCAACATCTTTATTACCACTAGTCCAACTTTCAAAATTTCGTTGAAAATGTATTGCATTACATGCATAATTGCATTTTTTACACTTATTATCAATCAAAACCATCATATAAATTTTTTTTTTTGGGTCCCAAGTTATTCCATAAAATTCATGATCTATTCTAATCTACAAATGTAATAATATGTTAGAAAAATAAAATACTTATAATCTTGTTAATAAGTCAAAAATTTTATCATACATTATTTATAAATTCTAATGTAAAAGTTTCTGGAGTATTTAAACTTTTCAAATTTACAAACATATTACGATTATCTCTTTTCCAATTTTGATTTGCATGATCCCAATAACTCCGATAACTTAAATTTCCATCAATCCAATTTGCTATATATGTTTCGCCAAATTCATCTTTTGCAATATGTTTAATATTGTGAAATTTATCATCAGGTATCCATTCTAATGCTTTATTTACATCATTATGAGCTGATAGCTGAGTATCTTGAATAAATTTATCAATATCACCATTATCGCTAGTCCAATTTTCGAAATTTCGTTGAAAATATATTGAATTACATATTTTATTACACTCTTCACATATATTATTCAAAACCATCATATAATTTTTTTTTTTGGGATCCCGGGTTATTCCATAAAATTCATGATCTATTTTAATCTACAAATGTAATAATATGTTCAGTTAGAAAAATAAAATACTCATAATCTTATTAATAAGTTAATAAGTTTATTATACCTTATTTATAAATTCTAATGTAAGATTATTTGGAGTATTTAAACTCTTCAAATTTACAAACATATTATGATTATCTCTTTTCCAATTTTGATTTTCAAAATCCCATTTATCTATACGTCCATCAATCCAATTTGCTATATATATTTTTCCAAATTCACCTTTTGCAATACGTTTGATATTGTGAAATTTATCATAAGGTATCCATTCTAATGCTTTATTTATATCATTATGAGCTGATAACTGAGTATCTTGAATAAATTTATCAATATCATCATTATCGCTAGTCCAATTTTTGAAATTTCGTTGAAAATATATTGAATTACATATTTTATTACACTCTTCACATATATTATTCAAAACCATCATATAATTTTTTTTTTTTGGATCCCAAGTTATTCCGTAAAATTCATGATCTATTTTAATCTACAAATGTAACAATAATGTTAGAAAAAAAATACTTATAATCTTGCTAATAAGTTAATAAGTTTATCATACCTTATTTATAAATTCTAATGTAAGATTTTCTGGAGTATTTAAACTTTTCAAATTTACAAACATATTATGATTAGTTCTTTTCCAATTTTGATTTGCATAATCCCAATAACTCCAATAACTTATATTTCCATCAATCAAATTTGCTATATATATTTCGCCAAATTCATCTTTTGCAATATGTTTGATATTGTGAAATTTATCATAAGGTATCCATTCTAATGCTTTCTTTACATCATAATGAGCTGATAGCTGAGTATCTTGAATAAATTTATCAATATCATCATTATCACTAGTCCAATTTTTGAAATTTCGTTGAAAATATATTGAATTACATATTTTATTACACTCTTCACATATATTATTCAAAACCATCATATAATTTTTTTTTTTTGGATCCCAAGTTATTCCGTAAAATTCATGATCTATTTTAATCTACAAATGTAACAATAATGTTAGAAAAAAAATACTTATAATCTTGCTAATAAGTTAATAAGTTTATCATACCTTATTTATAAATTCTAATGTAAGATTTTCTGGAGTATTTAAACTTTTCAAATTTACAAACATATTATGATTAGTTCTTTTCCAATTTTGATTTGCATAATCCCAATAACTCCAATAACTTATATTTCCATCAATCAAATTTGCTATATATATTTCGCCAAATTCATCTTTTGCAATATGTTTGATATTGTGAAATTTATCATAAGGTATCCATTCTAATGCTTTCTTTACATCATAATGAGCTGATAGCTGAGTATCTTGAATAAATTTATCAATATCATCATTATCACTAGTCCAATTTTTGAAATTTCGTTGAAAATATATTGAATTACATACTTTATTACACTCTTCACATATATTATTCAAAACCATCATATAATTTTTTTTTTTTGGATCCCAAGTTATTCCATAAAATTCATGATCTATTTTAATCTACAAATGTAATAATATGTTAGAAAAATAAAATACTTATAATCTTGTTAATAAGTCAAAAATTTTATCATACATTATTTATAAATTCTAATGTAAAAGTTTCTGGAGTATTTAAACTTTTCAAATTTACAAACATATTACGATTATCTCTTTTCCAATTTTGATTTGCATGATCCCAATAACTCCGATAACTTAAATTTCCATCAATCCAATTTGCTATATATGTTTCGCCAAATTCATCTTTTGCAATATGTTTAATATTGTGAAATTTATCATCAGGTATCCATTCTAATGCTTTATTTACATCATTATGAGCTGATAGCTGAGTATCTTGAATAAATTTATCAATATTATCATTGCCACTGGTCCAACTTATAAAATTTTTCTGAAAATGTTTTACATAACAATGATCATTTCCGCAACTTTCACATTTGTCATTACGAAATGACAATAATAATTTCCTCATCATTTTGACTCATTTGAAATTCAATAAGAATTGATTAAAAGTAAAATAAGTAATTAATAATAAATACTAATAAAAAAAAAGTGGAGTAAGAAAAAAAATTTTTATCTCAGCATAAGAACTAATTATATATAATGCAATATTAGTAAAACAAAACTAAATCCGGATAACAAAAGAAATGCGGTGTAATGGTATCACTTCTGGCGATCATTTTGAAAAAGAGCCAATCATATTCATCTCCTTGATTTAATTAGAAAATGGGTGACGTTAAATAAAAGTAAAAAATTATGTGAAAACCATTGTAAAAAGTAACTGAAACTATTTAAAACTTTAGAATAAATATTATGTATTAAAATATGTTAAGCATGAAAATTGGGTATCAAAAAAAAATTACCAATGAATTGACATATGAATATTTTGCACCGGTTCGGTTTCAGTTCCACGAACCGGAACGAGTTGAACTGAACCAAATTTGTGGAACTGACTCCAAAAACTGGTTTGGAGCAGAGTTTAGAAACCAGTTCTGTTATTCATAATTCCGGCCGGAATTATATGATCTGTGCAAAATTTCCTTTTTTGGAATTTCTATAACGTCACGTGACCGGCTTAGCTTTCAGAGTCGTCAAGCCGTTCGTTCCACTTGAGCTGTTCTGCCCTCGAAAATCACTCCATTTGGAGCTTTTTCCATCCCTATCACCTACTCATAATATATCAATAAAAAATTGATGACATAGTAATTTAAGTCATGGTTCGTGTGTATACATGACTCACAGCAGGCTGACCAAAAAAAAACTAGATTAAAAAAAAAACAGAACCTCCTAAAAAGCCCTGATATCCACTTCGCCTTCATCTAATTAACGTCATAAAAAAAAAAGGAAAAAAAAAATAATAAATAAATAAATAGAATAAAATAAAACAAACATCATTAATTTTAGATTTCTATGTGAATTTTATCTTTTTTACTTCAAAAAAGAATTTATCAGCCTTGGTCAACTCGATGATATACTGACGTTGATGGTAAGATTAATAATAATAAAAGAAATACTCATTCGTGAAAAGATTGAAATTTTATTGATCATGTAACACAATTAACACATGATTTTATTTATTAACTTAAAATACTAGTTTATAATATACTAGCATGAACGTGTATTTATCGATTTCGGGGTGTTTCAAACACAAAAAGTAAATTTTCTATGCTGATCATTTAATGTTGGGCAGTTATAAATCGCATTAACAGTTAAATTAACGAAAAACCAGATCATTTAAACCGACTTTGACGCTTTAAGTAAACTCGCAGAACAAAATACACATATCATATGTTTCATTTAAAATTAAAATTATATTTATTAAAAAATTTTTTACATAAATTATTTTATAAAGTCACGTGATATGTGTATGAACACTCTGTAAATTAAGAAATTCTAGCAATAAAATATAATAATTTATAGTTTTTCTTCTATTTGTAAATACGGCTTTTTTGGTATATTTACTCATTTAACTTTTGATTTAACAACAAATTTGCCAATAAAAAATATTTGGGAATAGCCTAATAGAAAATTATAATTTTATTCTAAGATTTTTCTTTGCATAATATTCGCTATTTTAACATTCAAGTATGAAAGAAAAATAAATTAAAGATATTATATAACCATTTTAATTATTATTAATTAAGAAATATTAATTTGTAAATATTCTGTTTAATAAATTAAAATTTAATTATTAGTATGATTATTATAAATTATAATATTAAAAGTGCTTAATTAATACCTGGCAATTTCGTGTTAATTAATGTCTAATTATATTATCATTTCGTTCATAATAATCATCAGAATTTCTCAGTTAATGACTTTCATAAACGGCTTCCGAATGTATTTTATAGTATAATCCGATAATCCTAAGGTATTCTATTATTTGATCAATTGTTGTTTATTCCGACCGTTTTTCTAATTTGTTCTCGTAATCCTGTTTATAAACTCCATAGGTCAAAAATTTTATAAATTTCTTTTGCTGTTTGTCGATTTAATGGGTTTGTATCTAAGCAAATTAACAATAAATTGAGTACTTTAATCTTAAACCTTAGTCTAAGTCCTTGAAAAATTTTTATTGCCAAATATTGATCATGGCTGATATGAGGTAATCCAGAAATTACTTCATATATAATTATACCAAAACTATCTGAAACTTCGGTATAATTTATCAATTTCAATCTCATTATTAATAGCCAAAAGGTAAAAGTCTAAAGTTAGTTTTTTATTAATATCACAACCTAAACCAATTAAACTTGAGAACCAAATTTTACTTTTTTCATGATCATTTTTCATTATTTTTAAAATAATTTTTGGATTTTTATAATCATTTTCAAATTTATTATTTATCCATTCATTTAGAATGGTTTCAAAATTATTAAAATGTATTAATTTCAATGATTTTATGATAAAAACCTTTTATTAATAAACTATTTTTTAAAAAATTTTCTTCATCGGTTGATCATTTTCTATCCTTATAAAAAATTCTTTTTTTTTCTTTTTTCTTTTTTTTCTTCGAAGTATAATAATAATTTTTGAAATCTTTATATAACCTAAAATTTATAATATGATATCATTATCCGCAGAAAACCATCCTTTTTCGATCGTTACGGCGTTACGCTATATTCCATATGCTCCACATGCGTTGCAATGCATGCAAATTTTTTGCCAATTTTAATTTATATGTTCTTTTTGCTTAAAAAATTGGACCTCAGCCACAATAATTTAATAATGAGAAATTTATTTTGAGGAAATTTATTTTCAGGTTTTTTCTCAATGATAAATGGTAATTTTATAAAGAATATAGGCTTTTAAAATTTTTTTTTTGAATTATATCAAATTAATCCAAAAATAGACTAAAAAATAGTAGTTCTTGACAATTAATTTAATACAACAATTTAACAAGGAATACATTATTCTTTGGTTGAATATTTGATTGTTGTAATATAAATACATTCTTTGTTGAAACTTTTTATAGCGCAATACCATTACAAAATTCTGTTATCCGAACCTTTTTATAAAATTTCTTTTTTTAGATGTTCTTTACTATGTTGCCGTATTATTATGTTTGATATTCGTGTATTGTTAATAAGACGATGTACAATAAAATTATAAAATTTAATTCGAGTCTCGGTCATACCTAAATTGGTTCGACAAACAATTTGTTGAACAAATTATTTTGTTTCAAATTTTTTTATTCTTTCTATTTGAATAATAATTAATAATTTTAACAATATAATAAATCAACGTAATAAATCAACGCAATTAATGAAAAAAAAATCACAAGTTCGCATTCGATTGACTTCAGAAATCGTTATGAATGGCGCATGCGCAGTAATAATTCGTATGAGAATGTTTCTCTTCGTAGAAAAGTTCAAATATATAAACTTAGAAAAAGTAATTACTCAAGTACTTCCACTAGGGATGGCAACGGTCGGTCATGGTCGGTCATCGGTCGGTCATAACCGGTCAAGAACCTTTGACCGACCGACCGATATCGGTCACGGTCATGACCGGTCATAACCGGTTAATGACCGTGACCGTTGCCATCCCTAACTTCCACTATAAGAATTTTCATAGAATATAAATACTAACGTGACAATTTATCATTATGTATAGTTATAAACATTATAACATAACAATTTTGAAATTTTGTAAAAATATTTTTCTATTCGTAAAAAATTAAATAGATGATTTCCGCAGTATTTTTCATGATATTGAAACAAATAAATACAGTACAAATTTTTTTTTAGATTTTATTCAGTTTAAAATAATATGTGAAATCAATATAAAACTATTAGGATTTATCAACATTATCAAAAATTAATTATTGATTATATTATGGGAACAATATTTTTACTGACATAATCTTATATACAATATTAAAAAAAGAGGATATTATTTCAAACAAGCGGAAGATATAATAAGATTATTAGCGTCAGTTTTCTACGCAAAATCATTGGTTGTTTAACTTGTACAATAGCTTTCATTTCTTTTCTATGACTATCAATTTAATATTTTTTTAACATATACTGAGCAAATCATAGTATAAATGGAAAAATTATTTTATAAAATTTTCTCGATTTTAGTAGCGAAATCCACACTATCTGTTACATACTTGTTACATGCAGCCATTCCTTTTTAAAATTAATTTTTTTGATTATTAATAATAATAATATTAATAATAATCGCGAACTTTTCTAATTTGAGATTACTGCAGATAAATTACAATTTACAATTTTCATTGCATTGTTATAATATTATTATTGATTCAATAACGATAAGTGAATGAACTGTTTATCTACAATAAATGTTTCAATTTCCTTAATCGTATAATTTCCATTACCATCTAAATTATATTTATAATTACCACACTTATTATTAACACATAAATTACCATTTTTCATATATAATGAACCACCGAAATTAAATCCACAATTATATTCATCCAATATAGCTTTAGAATGATTTAATACACGACTTATTTTCATATTTTGAGTATCCTCGCCATTTTTAAATGAGAAAATAAAGTTATCTGATGAATAATAATACTCATCATCATCATCTTTTAATATAAAATTATTATCTCCTATTGAGTTAAATCCAACAGAACTATACCCACCAAAGACTCTATTCGAAAACAAAGGTTTAATCAAAACTAAACTTGCTACTTGTCCATTACATTTATTTTTAAATGAATGATTATTAATTCTATTATGATATGTATTATGATAAATAAGTTTGAACTTATAATAAGAATCATTTATAGTACGATAATCTTTTTTATTAATCCAATTAACGATTATATTGGCAAGTTTTGGCTTGATAATCTTTGATTCAAATATTCCTATTCTAGGTGGTAAAATTGTTATTTTTGGTAAAACACCCTTAAAATAAAAATCTTCAATTTCTTTATAAATATTATCAGGAAAAATATCTTTATAAGGTTGGACTTTATTTAAAAAGTCAATATGAGAGATTCCTACAAATCGAATAAGAGGAATAAATTGATTCAAAGTTTTTTTTAATGCCTCAAAATTTTCATCATTCCAATTGGATTTAACACTATTTTCATTTCCCAAACCGGGTGTTTGTTCAATACCCCATTTAATTAAACAATCCCAAGCGACATCATCTTCAATCTGAAAATCATCTCGTTCAAGTAAACTATAGAGAATATCTTTATTTAATGAGAAAAAGGTTTTTGAGGTAATAAATGGCTGAGAATTTTCACAAATAGTTTCAAAACAAAAATTTTGTAATTTCTTGCATCTCGCAAAGTTATTAAGAATCAAAACGGAATTTTGTTGAACCCAATTTTTTTTTTGTCCAATTAAGTAATCTTGTAAATATTCTACTAATTCTTCAAGAAGTAATTCGTCAGATGCTGCTAAAAGTCCAAGAATATCTTCACATAACTGTTCTGATAAATCAAGCACACCTGTATAAATATATCTTTTAAAAAAAAGAGAAATTACGAAATTTAGGAATCAACTTAATTTTAAAAAAACCTTAAAGATATATACAGTAACTTACTTTAAAATCATCTCGAAAACTATTGGAGTGATATTTGGTTTATAAAACATAATTATATTATTCTTCTTTGTAACCCATCTAGTTGATAAAGCACTTTTAAAATAAGGAGAACGAGCACGTAAAATTGTTGAGTGTGCTTGGAATTCTTTCATATTTTGGTTTTCACCAACTTGAATAATGACATTAAAATCATCACTATCATTTAATATTAAGGAAAAGTCATTTGAAAGACTAGGATAAAAAGTTGTTGTCATTTTTTTTTTTTTGGTGAAAATTAATATACGCGTTTTACTATAACAGATAAACTTTGTGGAAGTAAAACTTTAACTCCGGAATAAAAAAAAATATATGATGACACAAATGGAAAAGATACGCAGTTACTCATATAAAGTTTCATTATTGATTAATCATAACTCTGTGTTGATCAAATAATATTAACAAATCAAATGTCAGATTATTCAGTTAGTAAAATTATAATTAGGTTGTATTTTTATTTATTTTATTTATCTATCATAAAAACCAGAGAAATAATTAGCACGTTGTGCAAGACTTAACTGGCTTGTCGGTCATTTTGCAGATTATTTTTACCAATTTTTTAAATCCGATCTAAATTTTTTTAGAAAAAAAAATTACTTGAAGATTTAAAACTTTTAATCATAACCAAATTTCAAGATCATAATTTGTTCTTTAGTTTAATAATTTATTACAATTAATAGATAATAAATATTTTCCTTAACTTACAGTATATAATAATACAATATACATTATGACAAATAATTTTATTAAAAAACAAAGTTTATTAAATCTTAATTATAACAATAGTGGCTGCAATTGAATTTGAGGATCATTTACTTAATCACAAAAGATAAGTTAATAAATAATAAAAAAAAGTTTACATAGGGGAATATTTGCGCAATAATCATAATACTTTGTAGGTGACTGGTGACTTATTTCCGGGCAATATACTGTACTTGTGCAATAATATACTTGATGAAAATTTGTAGTTCGGCACATATTTACTATTATTTCATCAGGGCGAGAATTACGTAATTTCGCCTGGATTGTTGAAAAAAGGAAGGATCTTCAATTTGCCGATCATATCTAAAAATGGATAGGTTAGTTTATCGAAAATTTGAATGAATAACTCAATGCCATTTTAAGTTCTATAATAAAGTTGATTTTATTATTATATTTAAAATCTCCATTTTTTTTCTAAGTAAACTTGCAAAAAAAGTAAAGGGTTTGATTATACTTTTTCGGTAAATTTTATTATCTATTTTTGGATGTGATCTGCAAAAATTTGGTCACGTGCAAATTCCGGCCAAATTTAATGTCGGCCAGCATTACTATGATTGCAAATCCTAAATCAGGTAAACCCATTCTATTAAACTTATTTGGAAAGATTTACAAATGGCTAATTTTATGGTGTAAAATTTTGGCGTAAAATTACTAAACTTATTTGGAAAATTTACAATGACCTTTTTTTTTTGAAATACGTATTATAATAAGTAAACAATAATTTCTTAAAAAGAATTTATTTTGATATATAGTGAAATCAAATAAATTGATGCATGCCTAAGTGTTCTGTAGATCAAAGGTGGCAACAATAAAAACTATGTCACATTAGAGTAACATTTGGTCGTTCAACTTAAATTATTATCTATTGGAAGTAATTCTACTAAAATCAAATTTAGTCGAAAATCGAATCCATTAGAAGTCGTCGGAATTATTGAAATCGCAGCATTGTTCAACATCAATATTATGTACTAAAATAATGAATTCATTTCGGTAACATAAGCTCCATCAAATAAGCTAATTTAATTATTTCTCAAACATCTTGTTTATCATTAATAGAAATGAAAACAGATATGCTAATTAGTGATTCGTTTGTTAGATATGAAATTTTTTATCTTAAATCACATTAAATAATAATTAATACATCTACCAATTTTTTTCCATTATAAGATATAAAATTATTGAGGTTCAAAATTCGATCAATGGTTACACATTTCACGTGACTATGCATCGGTAACCAACCTTCTAATAAATAAATAAATAAATAAAAATAAATTCCAATACTATTGCGACCTGTTCCATTCCGGTTCCTTTCATAATGTCAAATCACCGTCATGCCTGTATTATTCACCATAAGAATCTAGCCCTATATTTCATCTCGAAGGATAACAAAATTCCTGACGTCAGTCATTGCAAAACATTTAAAAATTTTCACGCAACCCGCCTCTACAATAGATGGGCTAAGAAGAAGATACATCAGAATTTTTCGAACCGATTAGGAATTTCTTTCACCACATCATACCATGCGTATAACACTAATGTCGTCACTACAAAAGGACTTGATTTTATTTATGGCAAAAAATATGGGAATCTTCAATTTACTCCCAGTTCGTCTCCAAAGGTGAAAAAAAGACAAGAAGCTCGTTTTAATGCTTTGGTTAGGCATACTTTTCATAACGCCAAGCTGGATGATAATGCGCTAACGGAAGATAAACTCCGAGCTGCACGACGTCACAAATTATTATTTCAAGAAAATCAAAGATTCACCACTCCTGTCAAACACCTTCGATACAAGAAAAAATTCATCGAACCATCACAAGGTTATTACACCTTTCCGATCCCATTTCCTGAACCTACGACTGTATCTGTACCTGTTTTAGTGGAGACAATTTGTAACGTTAGCTCTGTCGCATCTACATCGAATGATAATCCTATATCCCCAGCTAATACTGACAATTGGGAGAATGTACCTGAACATTATATTCCGTTAATTCCTCAGTATGCAGTTTACGAAGGTGGTCGATTGAATCAACCTTCTCGTCATAAAGTTTCGAAAAAGAAATTACAACCACTTGCAGTTGGCAGTGATGGCTGGCTTGCTCTCATGAAAGAGATCTATGATGATCACGTATCAACGATAAAATATGAACAAGGAAGAATTAATGCTGGAATACAATGGGATACCACTCCCGATCAAGGCGAATACCGGGAAGATCTTTGTAATCGTGTAATGGAAGTCACCAACGCTCAGTACAATTATGAGATGAAATTACTTGAAATCTCATCCCAAGTAATACCCGAATTACCTACCGTATCTGGACCACTTAAACAATGCGAACGCAAAAAACGTGAAAAGCGTCGATTACAAATATTACAGGATATTGAACGGAAAAAACTTGAAGATACTGAAATCTTAGAAGAGTTACGCTCTTGGGTTAACATTTACGATAATATTTTTACCGTCAACTTATAGGGGTGAAATCGGTTTGGCATTTCAGCCTTGTGCCATTATGGACGACAGACCGCTTAAACGACGTGCCAGTGATAATGGCAATTTAGATACTCATTATAGTTATCATAAAAATAAAAAGGTTCGTATATTATCCGCCTTGAAGGATTTAGGAAATAGTTCGTCTGCTCGTACTATCTAAGTACTCGTTAGTCAAATTTTTATATAGCGATTTATTAATATATTAGTTTCTATCTGTACATGCTTATTAGCATTTTAGTTCGTTTTTTACGTTAGATTTTTAACAACTTAAAATAGTGTAAATCATTCCACCTCTTACAGTATTTACAGGTGGCAGCCTTGTAGGCTGAAAGAAAGATACGGATTGGTGCTTGTCATTTAATTGTCATTTCTTCCTCAGTCCTGCTCCTTCATCGGTCGTGTTGTCGGAGTAGTCTATGGAATATAATAATTAGTTTGGGTCTGCCCATGGGTAGATGATGGACTAAATGTTGGGCGTAATTATTGTAATTAATGCTCTCTTAGAATAGTCCTTCCGACTTTACATAAAATAAAATAAATAAATAAATAAATATAAATAAAAATAAATAATTTTTTTCTTATTTTGGTTTCTCTTGCAAATATATCCTTTATAAAAATTTCAGTATAAAATTAATGGATAAGGAAAAACCAATCAGGCTATCTTACATTAGTGAAGAATTAAATAATATGTGTGAAATATGTAATCGTATATGTAATTCAATATATTTTCAACGAAATTTTGATAATTGGACCAGTGGTAATAAAGATATTGATCAATTTATTCAAGATGATCAGATATCGGTTCATAAAGATAATGAAATATCACATGCATTAGAATGGATACCTTATGATAGATTTTATGGTATTAAATATATTGAAAAAATTGGAGTATATAGAGCAAATTGGATTGATGGAAAAATATATAAATGGGATGATAAATATCAAAATTGGGGAAGACTAAATCAGGATATGTTTGTAACTTTAGAAAGTTTAATTAATCCGAAAAATGTATCAATAGAATTTATGAATAAGGTAATTTATTATTTAATGAGGATTATGAAATTTTTAAATTTACTAATATTATATATTTGTAGTTTAAAGTTGATCATGAATTTTATGGGATAACTCAAAATCTAGAAACAAAAAATTATATGATGGTTTTGAATAATAAATGTAAAAAATGCAATTATACATGTAATGCAATGCATTTTCAACGAAATTTTGAAAATTGGACTAGTGGTGATAAAGATATTGATAAATTTATTCAAGATACTCAACTAACAACCCATAAAGATGATGAAATATCACATGCACTAGAATGGATTCCTTATGATAGATTTTATGGTATTAAATATATTGGAAAAATTGGAGTATGTAGAGCAAATTGGATTGATGGATATATACATAAATGGGATGATAAATGTCAAAATTGGAGAAGACTAAATCAGGATATGTTTGTAACTTTAGAAAGTTTAATTAATCCAAAAAATGTATCAATAGAATTTATGAATAAGGTAATTTATTATTTAATGAGAATTATGAAATTTTTAAATTTACTAATATTATATATTTGTAGATTAAAGTTGATCATGAATTTTATGGAATAACTCAAAATCCAAAAACAAAAAATTATGCAATAGTTTCAAATAGTAAATGTAAAAAGTGTAACAGTATATGTGATACAATATACTTTCAACATAAATTCATAGATTGGACTAGTGGTAATGATGATATTGACAAATTCATTCAAGATAGTCAGTTGTTAGCTCATAATCGTACATATAGTGTAATAGAATGGATACCATACAATAGATTTTATGATATTGAATATATTGCAAAAGGTGGGTTTGGTAAAGTGTATAAAGCAAATTGGATTGATGGATGTATAAGGTACCGAAATAGATGGGATAATGAAAATCAAAATTGGAAAAGAGAAGATCAGAATATGTTTGTAGCTCTGAAAAGTTTAAATAATTCAAAAAATGTTACATCGGAATTTATGAATGAGGTATAGTACATATATTTAATCTAATTTAATTTATTATCTATAATTAAAATACTATTTTATTTAACACTATATATAGATTAAATTACATAATAAAGTAGGTGGAGGTATTGTTATAAAATTTTATGGAATAACTCAAGATCCAGAAACAAAAAATTATATTATGGTTTTGGAATATGCAGACAGTGGAAGTTTGCGGCATTTTTTAAATACAAGATTTAATGAATTAAGCTGGTTCAATAAGATTACATATTTATGTGATATTGCATTTGGGCTTAGAACCATTCATGAAAATGAACTAATTCATCGAGATCTGCATACTGGCAATATACTAGTAAATAATAAATACATAAAAATAACTGATATGGGATTATGTAAACCTGCAAATTATAATGCATCAAAAAATACAAAAAACTGTGCATACGGTGTTTTACCTTATATAGCTCCTGAAATTTTAAGAGGAAGGAATTACTATACTAAAGCTGCTGATATTTATAGTTTTGGTATAATAGTGTACGAAGTAATTTCTGGATTACCTCCATATTATGATGTGAGCCATAATAATCATTTAGCAATAAAAATTTGTCACGGGCTAAGACCAAGATTTAATATTAAGGTACCCGAGTTAATCGTGAATTTAATTAAAAGATGTTTAGACGCAGACCCATTAAATAGACCAACAGCAAAAGAAATCTATGAAAAGTTAGACCCATCTCAATTATTGTATGATACAGAATTACGAAGACANCATACTGATCATGGATCATCAGATGCATTAGAATGGATACCTTATGATAGATGTTATAATATTGAATTTATAGCAGAAGATAGGTTTGGCAAAATATATAAAGCAAATTGGATTGATGGGTTTATATTGAAATGGAATGATTACAATCAAAATTGGGACAGATATAATCAAAATATAGTTGTAACTATAAAAAATTTAAATATTTCAAAAGAAATTACTACAGAATTCATGAATGTGGTATGTATGATTAATATAATCATTAATGAAAGTCTTGAATTATAATATATAATTATTTTATTAATACATTATACTATATATATTTATAGATAAGAAAAGATCACAAAATTCATGGAATAACTCAGGATCTAGAAACACAAAGTTATATGGTTGTATTGAGCAGTTACTGTAGAAAATGGTATAATATATGTAATGCAACATTTTTTCAACAAAATTTCATAAATTGGACTAGTGGTAATAATGAAATTGATGGACTTATTCAAGATACTCAGCTATCAGTTCATAAAGATAATGAAATATCACATGCATTAGAATGGATACCTTATAGTAGATTTTATAATATTAAATATATTGAAAAAATTGGAGTATATAGAGCAAATTGGATTGATGGATATATACATAAATGGGACGATAAATATCAAAATTGGGGAAGACTAAATCAGGATATGCTTGTAACTTTAGAAAATTTAATTAATCCAAAAAATGTATCAATAGAATTTATTATGAATAAGGTAATTTATTATTTAATGAGAATTATGAAATTTTTAAATTTACTAATATATTATATTTGTAGATTAAAGTTAATCATAAATTTTATGGAGTAACTCAAAATCCAGAAACAAAAAATTATATGATGGTCTTGAATAATAGGTGTGAAAAATGTAACCATATATGTAATTCAATATATTACCAACAAAATTTTGTTAATTGGACTAGTGGTAATAAAGATATCGATAAATTTATTCAAGATACTCAATTATCAGCACATACTGATCATGGATCATCAGATATATTAGAATGGATACCTTATAATAGATTCCATAATGTTGAATTTATTGCAGAAGATAGGTTTGGTAAAATATATAAAACTAATGCAAATTGGATTGATGGGTTTATATTGAAATGGAATCATTATAATCAAAATTGGGACAGATTTAATCAAAACATGGTAGTAACTATGAAAAATTTAAATAATTCAAAAGAAATTACAACAGATTTCATGAATGAGGTATAGTTTGCTTAATTTAATTACTAATGAAATTCTTAAATTTTAGTTTTATTAATACATTATACTATATTTGTAGATAAGAAAAGATCACAAAATTTATGGAATAACTCTGGATCTAAAAACGCAGAGTTATATGGTTGTATCAGGTGATTACTGTAGAAAATGGTATAATATATGTAATGCAATATTTTTTCAACAAAATTTTAGAAATTGGACTAGTGGCAATAATGAAATTGATGAATTTATTCAAGATACTCAGCTATCAGTTCATAATGCTAATGAAATATCACATGCATTAGAATGGATACCTTATAATAGATTTTGTAATATTAATTATATTGAAGATACTGGGATATATAGAGCAAATTGGATTGATGGAAAAATACATGAATGGGTTAGTTATAATCAAAATTGGAATAGATATAATCAAAATATGATTGTAACTATAAAAAGTTTAAATAATTCAAATAAAATTACAATAGAATTCTTAAATGAGGTACAGTATAATTAGTTTATTAATAATTAAATGAAAATTATTTTAGTTTTATAATTACATAATACTATATTTGTAGATAAAAAAAGATTATGAAATTTATGGAATAACTCAGGATCCAGAAACAAAATATTACATGATGGTTTTGAATTCTAAATGTAAAAAATGTGAATATATATGTAATTCAATATATTTTCATCAAAATTTTAAAAATTGGACCAGTGGTAATAAAAATATTGATAAATTTATTCAAGATACTCAGCTATCAGCCCATCATTATGTGAGCAAAGCATTAGAATGGATATCTTATGATAGATTTTATAATATTAAATATAATGAAAAAATTGGTGTATATATAGCAAATTGGATTGACGGATATATATATAAATGGGATGACAAATATCAAAATTGGGGCAGATATAATCAAAATATGATTGTGACCATAAAAAGTATAAATAATTCAAAAGAAATTGCAATAGAATTCATGAATGAAGTCAGTATAATTAATTTAATTATTAAATGAAAATTTTGTATTTTAGTTTATTAATACATCATATATTATATTTGTAGATAAAAAAAGATAACGAAGTTTATGGAATAACTCAAAATCCAGAAACAAAATATTACATGATAGTTTTGAATTATAAATGTGAAAAATGTGATTACATATGTAATGCAATACGTTTTCAACAAAATTTCATAAATTGGACTAGCGGTAATAAAGATATTGATAGATTTATTCAAGATACGCAGCTATCAGCACATACTGATTATGGACTATTGGGTGCATTAGAATGGATATATTATGATAGATTAAATAATATTGAATTTATTGCAGAAGATAAATTTGGTAAAATATATAAAGCAAATTGGATTGATGGATATACAGACGAGTGGGATGATTATGTTCAAAATTGGGCAAGGTATAATCAAAATGCATTTGTAACTGTAAAAAGTTTAATTATTTTAAAAGGAATCACAATAGAATTCATAAATGAGGTATATTATGATTTATTTAGTTATTACCATATTAAAATGAAAATTTTGAATTTTAGTTTTATTGATACATTTTTTTTACTTGTAGATAAGAAAAGATCATGAAATTTATGGAATAACTCAGGATCCAAAAACAAAATATTATATGTTAATTCTTAATTATAAATGTGAAAAATGTAATCACATATGTTATGCAATACAGTTCCAACAAAATTTCATAAATTGGACTAGTGGCAATAAGGATATTGATAAATTTATTCGAGATGCTCAGTTATCAGTCCATAAATATGATGAAATATCACATGCACTAGAATGGATATCTTATGATAGATTTTATAATGTTAAATACGCAGAAAAAATTGGAGTATATAGGGCAAATTGGATTGATGGATTTATAGATGAATGGAATGATTACAGTCAAAATTGGGATAGATGTAATCAAAATATGGTTGTGACTATAAAAAGGTTAAATAATTCAAAAGCAATTACATTAGAATTTATAATAAATAAGGTAAAAACCTTATTTTAATAAAATTTTACATACTTAATTTTTACTAACATGCATTATATTATATGTATAGATAAAAAGAAATCCTAAACTATATGGTTTAACTCAGGATCCAGAAACACAAAGTTACATGGTTGTATTAAGTGATAAATGTAGAAAATGCCATTCTATATGTGATGTAATACATTTTCAACAAAATTTTAAAAATTAAACTAGTAGTAATAATGTCATTGATAAATTTATTCAAGATACTCAGTTATCAGTTCATAAGGATAATGAAATATCACATGCATTAGAATGGATACCTTATAATAGATTTTATAATATTAAATATATTGAAAAAATGGAAGTATATAGAGCAAATTGGATTGATGGATATATATATAAATGGGATGATAAATATCAAAATTTAAGAAGACTAAATCAGGATATGTTAGTAACTTTAAAAGGTTTAATTAATATAAAAAATGTATCAATAGAATTTATGAATAAGGTAATTTATTTTTTAATAAGAATTATAAAATTTTTAAATTTACTAATATATTATATTTGTAGATTGGTCATAAATTTTATGGAATAACTCAAAATCCAGAAACAAAAAGTTTTATGATAGTTTTAAATAATAAATGTAAAAAGTGTAACAATATATGTAACACAATACACTTTCAACATAAATTCATAGATTGGACAAGTGGTAATAAAGATATTGATAAATTTATTCAAGATACTCAGATATCAGTTCATGAAGATAATGAAATATCACATGCATTAGAATGGATTCCTTATGATAGATTTTATGATATTAAATATATTGGAAAAATTGGACTTTGTAGAGCAAATTGGATTGATGGAAAAATATATAAATGGGATGATAAATATCAAAATTGGGGAAGACTAAATCAGGATATGTTTGTAACTTTAGAAAGTTTAATTAATCCGAAAAATGTATCAATAGAATTTATGAATAAGGTAATTTATTATTTAATGAGAATTATGAAATTTTTAAATTTACTAATATTATATATTTGTAGATTAAAGTTGATCATGAATTTTATGGAATAACTCAAAATCCAAAAACAAAAAATTATGCAATAGTTTCAAATAGTAAATGTAAAAAGTGTAACAGTATATGTGATACAATATACTTTCAACATAAATTCATAGATTGGACTAGTGGTAATGATGATATTGACAAATTCATTCAAGATAGTCAGTTGTTAGCTCATAATCGTACATATAGTGTAATAGAATGGATACCATACAATAGATTTTATGATATTGAATATATTGCAAAAGGTGGGTTTGGTAAAGTGTATAAAGCAAATTGGATTGATGGATGTATAAGGTACCGAAATAGATGGGATAATGAAAATCAAAATTGGAAAAGAGAAGATCAGAATATGTTTGTAGCTCTGAAAAGTTTAAATAATTCAAAAAATGTTACATCGGAATTTATGAATGAGGTATAGTACATATATTTAATCTAATTTAATTTATTATCTATAATTAAAATACTATTTTATTTAACACTATATATAGATTAAATTACATAATAAAGTAGGTGGAGGTATTGTTATAAAATTTTATGGAATAACTCAAGATCCAGAAACAAAAAATTATATTATGGTTTTGGAATATGCAGACAGTGGAAGTTTGCGGCATTTTTTAAATACAAGATTTAATGAATTAAGCTGGTTCAATAAGATTACATATTTATGTGATATTGCATTTGGGCTTAGAACCATTCATGAAAATGAACTAATTCATCGAGATCTGCATACTGGCAATATACTAGTAAATAATAAATACATAAAAATAACTGATATGGGATTATGTAAACCTGCAAATTATAATGCATCAAAAAATACAAAAAACTGTGCATACGGTGTTTTACCTTATATAGCTCCTGAAATTTTAAGAGGAAGGAATTACTATACTAAAGCTGCTGATATTTATAGTTTTGGTATAATAGTGTACGAAGTAATTTCTGGATTACCTCCATATTATGATGTGAGCCATAATAATCATTTAGCAATAAAAATTTGTCACGGGCTAAGACCAAGATTTAATATTAAGGTACCCGAGTTAATCGTGAATTTAATTAAAAGATGTTTAGACGCAGACCCATTAAATAGACCAACAGCAAAAGAAATCTATGAAAAGTTAGACCCATCTCAATTATTGTATGATACAGAATTACGAAGACAAATTGAAAAAACAGATGCAATAAATAATATTTTATTAACTGAAAATACGCAGACTATATTAGGATTATCATACAAAACACATTCGGAAGCTATTTATACAAGTAGATCGCTTGATTTCAATAATCTTCCCGAACCAAAAAATTCTGATGATTATTATGAGAAAAATGATAATATAATAAGCGAGGAATTTTCAGGTATTAATAAAGCAATTTATTAATTGTTACTTTGTAGATATATTTAGTTAATATTATACTAATAATAACTTCAATTTATTAAATAGAATCTTTACAACTTAGGTTTTCTCAATTGAATATTGATAAGAATGGTAAATATTTTACCTGTGGTATAACTTTAAAAATACATAGTTTATAAATACTGATAATAAAATATTAATTTATTAAATAGAATCTTTACGGCGTAATCTTTCTCAATTGAGTACTAATGAGAATGGTAAATATAATGACTTTAAAACACTTAGTTTATAAAATACTAATAATATAAAGTATTATTTATTAAATAGAGTCTTTACAAATCAACATTTCTCAATTGAATATTAATGAAAATGGTAAATATAACGATTTTTAAAATACTCTTAGTTCACAATTACTAACAATAAGCCTTAATTTATTAAATAGAATCCTTACAAATCAATATTTCTCAATTGAATATTAACGTTAATGAAAATAGTTAACTTAACGTTTCAGTTTTCATCCGTAATTAATGTATTGTTTTTTAAATTATATATCTTTATTTAATTTTTTGCTGATAGTATATCATATCAAAGTTTAATTATAAAATTATTCTTTTTTTTTCAAAAAGAAAATTTTGTCACTATAATTAATACATTGAACTTCATATATATATTTACATATTAGAAAGTATTTAAAAAAATTTAGACACATCCACCTGGATTTTAATATAGTATAAACTAAATAAATCTAAGTATTTACTAAATACCTATTACATGTACCTGATTTGCTATTTTAAATCGATCTGAATTGCCTAATCTAAATACGTCTTCCTTTGTTTTTCCTGCTAAATCTATTTTTAAAATGTTTTTTTTTTTTATTCTTTTTTTTGTTTTTCAATATTTTCAATATTATCTAAATCTCTCTCTCCTTCGTCACTACTACCTTTAACTCCCTTCTTTTTTCTCTCTAGATATTTAAAAATTCCCATTTGTTTTTCTAATTCTATTGTTTCGTTGCATCGTTCCATCCATATCAATTTTTGAATATTTGTCAAGTATTCGTCCAGAACCAATCTCAGCAATGATTTTTCACTACCAGTCTTACATATTCTGAGCCATTTTCGTTGATTAGTCCTCTCGTCAATTCTCTAACTAAACCTTCCGCCGTGGTCATTATGTTAGATTTAGTTGATGCTTCATCCAAAATTGGTTCTTCAAATTCAGGACGTTGATTCGCCGCTTCGTTGACATTCAAATCATCGGACAACACTTTATTGATACTTTCTTTTAATAAAGCCATTTCAGTGACACCATTATTTTTCACACATATCCATATAGCGTAAGCATAACTCAGATATTAATACAAAGACGATTTTTTTTGTTAGTAACGCGCATTTCCCTTTTATTATAATGGAATTCAAGAATGAGAATACATTTATAAAGAAAAAAAAATACAGTAAGCATAACACTAATATACACCAGGTTATTCTATCTATTAACGGAAGTAGGGCGCCTACGGCCTACGCCTACTACTTATTAATTTTATACTATGGACTACATTTTTTCTAAAAATTTATTTGCTATATTAACGTAATCCCAGAAATTTGTGTATTTCCATTAATAATGCAATTACTAACTATTTTCCTATTATTACAATCCCATTAAGGTGAACACAAAAATATTAAATATATAAATTCAATCAAAAAAAGTGAAATATCAGAAAAGTATAGTCAAATTAAACTTCGTTCGTTCGATGGAAATGTAATCGATACTAGGCAAAGATTTCCCATTTCACTTGACTAGGTTATCCCATACTCTTTTCCGGCGAGAAAAAGAAACAAAACCTAACCCTACTTTCCCACATTTGTTTATTCTATTGAATGGTTAATCTTCCTTACTGCCATGGGTTTTTACAACACGTTTTTTGTTCCCATTCAATTCTTCATCATTTTCCGATTCGACAACTTCTCCTTTACCTTTTGATCCTTCCACACTAACATTGATATCTTTAATTCTATCGTTAAATTCAGTTCTGCATTCAAATTTGCTAAAATCGTTAACTAAAACGTTACTCGGAATCATTGAACCCGTTAGACTATGAGAATTAACTACGTTATTTGCCATTTTTCGAATTCCCGGTTTCTTGAAGAATCCTTCTTTACCTATTAGTTCATCTTGCCCTTTAATCTGCAGTCCTGCGTCAATTTCCTCTTGCATTGCAGAATTATGAACGGCCTTCATCATATCCTTTTCGTCGTTAAAGTATATTATTAATATATATCTGATATTGTTTATGTTAATTATTTTGGCGAAGTGTCCATTATTTCTTTCGTCTGATTTATCTTTCTCTTCTTTTAATTTCTTTACCACCTGCTAATTACTACACTCTACAGTATATCAATTTCTAATTTCACGTGAGGTAAGCTTCGCATCAAACATCCTAAAGAAATACTCCGTCCTTTTCATTTTATATTCACCGCTCCTGTATACTATTTCTAAAACTTTAATTAGGCGGATCTCAGCTCCAACGGTTTTATATTTATAGCAACGTTTGACAGTTAGACTCTCTACGTAGCCTGCTTATTTTAAATTTCATAAATGTCGTCTTTCCAATATCATAGGAAAATTAGTACAAAGAAGATTTATTATTGCAAATTTATAAATTATTATACCTCATCCGTAAATTCTAATGTAACACTCTTTGAATTATTTAAACATTTCAAATTAACAAACATATTACAATCTTTCCTTTCCAATTTTGATGTACTCTATTCCAATAAATAATATCATATCCCATCAATCCAAATTACTTCATACTTGCAATTTGCAATATAAAATCTATCATAAGTTATCCATTCTAATGCCGATTCTTTTACATCATGATGAGCTAATAGCTGAGTTTTTTGAATAAATTCATCAATATCATTATTCCCACTAGTCCAATTTTCAAAGATTTCGCTGAAAATGCATTGCGTTACATGTATAATTATGACTGAATTAGCTTAATACTTTTTAGTATAAGAATCCATTGAAATCTTCAAATTAAAAATGAATTCAGATTTAATAATAGAATAACCTATAAAAAGGCGTCTGAAAAAAATATGTTAACCTAGAAAATATGCGGATGTCGATCAAAATCATACAAAAATACTTTTTTTTGTAAGTTTTGTGAGTTCAGATTTAAGAGTTATACCCTTAAATGGTCAAATGGCGGTATCTTAAATTATGCCTTAACAAAATTTTTTTAATTTCCTAAATTTTTTGGTCACTCTGTTGCATAGGCTTTTTCGGTTAATGCATCACACAATATAAATTATAATCATGTACATGGTACAATACGATTTTGCTTTGCTTAGTTAAAAAAATTTAGATCACCCTTTAAAGGAAAGAAATAATTAATCATTGTTATATTTTTAACTAATTATAATTTTCAAAAATTTTTCCAAATATTAGAATTGTAATTTCCTTGACAAACAGTCTTTAATTTAATAATCTTATAGCAAAGTTTGCGACTTAAATTACGATTTTTTTTTGGATAATAATACCATCATCTAAAACTAGAAAATATAATATATTAATATATCAATAATAGTACGAAATTTAACTCACATTATTCACTTTAACTCACGAGCTGGGCAAAAAAAATGTTAAATTAATAAAAACAAAAACCTCAACAAACTAACCGCACGAAAACACTTTGTTTTCATCTAATTGGAGAAAAAGGTAAACTATTTTATTTCGTTTAAAAAACCTTGTTATCCTGGTTTATATTTTTTAAAAAAGTTTAATCCTTTTAATTGTAAAAAGATTTTATTAACTTAAGTCAATTCGAACAATTTGGCCTGAATACTTATTAAGTATTTTTCAGCTATTAACCGTTAAAAGAAGTAATGCGATTAATTCATTTATTTAATTTGTGATTTAAGGATGAAGATAGAATCAGAAAAGTTCATAAACTGATTTAAACAATGTCGTTGATATAGATTTCCCAACTTCCCATGAAATTAATAATACTAATTTTTTTTTAATTCAAACATAAAAGATACTTTGATTGTAATAGAACAATAAATTAATAAGGAATATAGTAAAATAATTATAATAAAAATGAATTATTGTAAAAATGTGCAAGTTTCAATCGTTTAAATTAAGTAAAAAATCGATTGCACGTGATCAATCAAAGGTCAATCGATTTTTGGATTTTAATTGATCTCGCATCATTTATAACTTTTTAAGTCGATTAAATTCCCTAGATAACAATAGATTTACCAATTTTTGATCATTTGAATGAGTTTTATATAATTTATAGATTTTTGATTATCATATTTATTAATTCAAAATTAATCCCGATCTTGATAATATCAATATTAAAGTACTAGGTTTTTTTTTATAAATGATACCAAGGCTCAGAGGCTATGTATTATCATGATTAACGAACCATTTATTGTAGCCTACATTAAACTTGACCTCTGCACATCAGTCAGATTCGTCTGGTTAATTTGGAATATGGTTTGTAAATTAGTCTCTTATTATCAATCACAAATCAAATTACCGCTATCAAATTTTCAAATAAAATATTTATTAACAAAATATCATGAAATATTATCATCTAAACCAAATTAATTTACATTTTTGTACTAACGATTTAGTTTCCAATAAGTCGTTTGCCTTTTCCCATAAAATTTATAAATAAAAGATATACAGTTTCAAAGAACTGAACATATGGATGAAGTCGTTCTTCACGATGTGTACTTGGTATAATATAAGTCCACAAACGAACTGGTAAAAAAACCAGATCCATAAGCATTTGAGACGGTGGGCATTGATCGTAACAGGAACAAAGCACACCATTGGCGATAACTGACCCAGCTCGTGTGTAGAAACTAATGTACTCATCATGTAATTCCTGTTTAAAATATCAGGGTATTAATTGTCAAGAAAAGTATTAACTTTTACAGTATTAATAAAAGTTTGAAAACTCACTATTGTTACATCATCCACAAAGACTGAAACTAGCTTATTGTTATCATCTGATACCAAAATCTTTGTTTCTCCAGGACGCAGATCTTTAGCGAATATTATTGATAAATTTTCATCAAAGACATAATGAGTAGTTGTGAGCCGCAATTGTCCTAAAAAAATGAAAATAGATCATAAGAATGAATAATTTATTTATTTGTCAAATTACAAGCAAATTATCCCCCAAAAATACCTTTAGATCCATCCGGTCTAGTAAAGTTGACTTTAGCAAACTTTTCTTCATGCTCGAGTTTTCCAATGTGAGCAATAAGATAAACTTCTGAATATTCATCAATATCATTTCTTACGTTTGATAGCACTCGATCCCCTGTTTGAAGTTCTGACATTTTAATAATTCTTCCCGATTCAAGCTTGACTTGTGTTTCAAGCTCGAAACAACCACCGGAAAGTTCATCCACTCTTTTTTCTAGGGCTTCTATTTTTTTGAGTAGAGATCCCACTATCTCCTTTATTTCCTTTTTTTGTCTTTCTTTTGCTTGTTTCTCATCTTCTGCCCTCCACATCTCATATTTCGCCAATGCATTTATTTCACCTTCTCTTCTCCTACTTTCATCGTATTTTCTTTTTCGTTTCTCTTCCGCTTCTTTCGCAATTCTTGCATTTTCTTCTTGTTTTTTCCGAGCTTTTTTGAGTAATTCATTTGTGTACACTCCATCTATAGAAATAATATGATTCCATAATTCTCTGAGGCGTTGTTGATGCACACGATTATCAGGCGGGAAAATATCTGAGTTCGGAGAAATAGCCCATCGATTACCCATGGAATTGATGAAATCCTTAAATTCTTTATTCCAAGATGACTTTTTAAAATTATCAAGATTTTCGGTTTGCTTTTTGTCACAAAACGAAAAGACAGTTATCATATATCGGAGCGCTTCATCTCCGAGAAATAATTTTATTTTGTTAACCATTTCTTTTTGTTCTATCGTGAACCGTTTGGCTTCTATAAACAATTTTTTAAATATATATCTCTCTATTGTGAATAATATAATTAGTATTTTCACTTACCAATTACGAACAATATGGCCTTAATCCCATAAGAACATTTTCGGATAGTTCGAGCAATTTCTTCTAGAGTAACTTCGTTGGGGTTATCAGTGTCAAAAATTCCTGGCGTGTCGATAACGTTATAAGTTTTATTATCAATTTTTATTGTCGCGAAACCAGATTTTTTAGTGAAGGATGACTAATCATTTTACGAGTTAGAAATAATAGTAAATAAAATTATCTAAAATAGAGTACATTATTTTTTATACTCACAAAGCTATCAGAGACAGGAAAAGTCGGGTTTTCATATTCGGAAGTTTTCAACAATAAATTCCCTAATGTGCTTTTACCCGCGCCTTTCAAACAAATGTATAACATATTTTCAATAAAAAAAAATTCAAATTGTTAAAAAGAAAGACACAATATCAAGGCATACCCGTTTTTCCAATTAAGAGTATGGCTGGTGCGTCAATAATGTCAATATCCAATAAAGTCGGAATCGGTTCAGGTCTAAAGAGTGCAAATTGATAAATACTGTATTAAAAAGTATAAATTTCGTGAAAAACGATTTTATATTCTCAGTCCTTACTTATTATATGCTATAATTATCCAGTCCAAAGGAATAATTGGTTTACTAAAGAGAAATGATGTTTAAATCAGAAGTTCGAAAGTAGAAGTTACCTAATAAAGTATAAATATATTAATATATTTAATATGTAAAGTAAAAGTAGGTAAATTATAGTATTATACATTTATGCGATATACCTAGAATGTTGGGTCCGTAAAATATCTTTGAGGTAAATTAAAATATATCAATGAAAATTAATGCGAACGAACTCTTACTAAAATTTTCGAGCATTAAGAATAATTTCTTACAAACACATATGACGCAATAAATAAAATTAAAATAACTAAAATAATTAAAATTAGATTAGTAAATGGCTTATTTTGTTCAATTTGCCTAGTAGATTGGTAATTAATAGTAGGCGGTTGAGATTGTGAACGTTGGCGTTGTCTATTTCTTAATACTAGTCATTTCATTGAAATAAAATTGGAAAAAATATTAAAATATATCAAAAAAAAAGAGAAAATACTATAATAATAATGTAATAATAATAAAAAAATAATAATAATACCTGGTTTATTGGTGTCTAACGTTACACTTCGACTAGTTCCAGGTGTTGAAATTTTCGGTGAGCGAAGATTTTCTTCATCCGGTGTGATTGTATCATCCTTCATCGTTTTTTCTCAAAGTTAAAGTTCGACTGTTCGAGGATAGAAAATTTTTGTATATGTGATTAGCATGTGAACAAAATGCATCCTTTTTCTAAATCTGGATAACAAGATGATCGACATACTCTTATATGATCGATCACGTGTCCAATTTCATAATTTTTAGCGTGGTACAATCAAATACATATAAATAATAGGCCCATGAAAATTCTTAATGTTTCTCAATTTGATTTCTAATAATTAAAAATGTTGGTAGTCATCCTTTTCATTTTTTTTTTTGATTTAATTTTATTATTTGTGATTCAATAATTATTGAAAGCAAAAATATACATAATATATATTATCTAACTTCATTTTAAGTGTAATTATGTAAATTTATAAACAATTTTAGAGCCTCCGCAACTAAAATGAAATTGAATATTAGAATTTATTTCTTTAGATAACTATTTTGATCTCATAAAAATAGAAATACAATTAGGCATAAATAAAAGCAGTTCTTATAGGTAATTACATCAGGAAATTATCTTGGATGTAAGAATTGTTACCACAACTGCCGCTGTATATAGTAAAATCACATGCTCAAAATCACATGTCCGAATTTTTTTTGATGGTGTAGAACTTGTACCCATCATAAAGACGTTTGCCATCACAAGCTACAAAAATAATCCTTTATTTAATGCAATAAAATATTAATATATTCTGAGTTTCATAATAAAATAAAATAACAAAAATAATAAATCCTAAAATAACTTTATTTTAAAACCATTCCCCTGTATTTCAAATCCTAAAATTAAACTGCGATAGTTTTCCCCCTTATTAATAACCTCAATAAACCCTTAAATATAATATCTAAGGTGGCTCTTTTTCATCATAAAAAAAAAGGAAAAATGAATCCAAAATAATCAGGTAAAATATAAACGAAATTCCAATGAAAAAAATGGTATTTAAGCCCATGACTTTAAGGTGTATTTATACCTTTCGACGTTACTCTTACTTCTAATAAAGAAACAATAATCAAAACACCAAAACACCTGTCGCTAATATTCTTATATTAAGTATTACACTATAGTGTCGAACTGTATAATAAAGTTATAAAAACAATTTAAAAATCTAACTCCTTCAAAGAATAGTTTTACGAAAAAAAATAGTTTTACGTCATTACGGACGCAGTACATTTAAAACACTTCAAATTTTTATACACTTAAAATACTGCGCCCCAAAATTAATAATTTCAACTAGCCTTTACAATGGTAAGATCTAAAGCCAGGTTCGATCTCATATTAACTAAAGAAAAAATTCGAATAGTATAAAATCACACGGTTTTTAGACGTTTCCCTTATTAGACTATGCTTAAGTAAGCTTTCAAATAAATATTAGTAATTAACTGTTATTAATTCATCATTATTGATAAATTTCTAAAATAATTAATAAATGAACTTTAACGACCTTTTTTCAATGACTAATTATTAAATTTTAAAAATGCGAGATGGAAAAGGTAAAAGAAGTGGAAGAGGTGGAAAGAAGTCAAATGCAAGTAAAGCAAATAAGAAAAAAATTATAGGTAATTTAAGTTAAATTCAAAATATTTCAAAAAAAATTTGGAACATTTCAAATAGCTAATAATAATGAAATGACTGAATCAAACATCAATCTAATATACGTTCAAAAAGTAAAATATCTAATAACGAAAGTGGTAATTATACCGACGTATTTACTTGAAAAAATTTTTATAATATAATAATTATTAAGCTAGATATAATAAATATACTTTATTTCATCTGAAAAGTCTTAATTTTCCCTATTTAAGACACAAGCCTAAACATAGCATTATAAAATCATATATTATTAGTATAAACATTTGCATAAGAGTAAATTTATTCCTCACCCTGGGTGAGTACTGTAATGCTATTTTTCATCCCTAAATTTTGATTAGCTAATTAACACTACACGAGAAATTTATGTTTATTTTCCCATTTTAATTATAAAAAAAAAACTTAATGAATGATCAAAACCAATTTTTTCTTTCATAAATAAATTATTTATTTATTTTAAGATTTTTAACAATAAAGACTTATTTTATAAGTATTTTAAGAAACACCGACCAAATCAAGAAATATACATTATATTTTAACAACGAACAAACAAGGTAACGAAAAAATCATAAGGGATGAAAAAGACGGAATTGATTAACAAAATGATGAAAGATGAAAAGGTGATTAACAAAATGATAAGAAATGAAAAATGATGAATAATAGGGAACGAAAAATGATGAAAAAATAGATGAAAATGAAAATAACAGAATGAGGGAGCAAAAAAAGGAACAAAAAAGGACAAGAAAAAGGAAGAAAGAGCGAAAAAGTAAAATAAAAAAAGAGGGGTGAAAAAGAATAAGAGTAAAGAAAGAGGATGAAAGAAACAAGAAAAGAGAAGGGGAACGAAAAAGAGTAATAAAGAGGAGAAGAAACGAAAATAATAAGGAGGAAAAAGAACGGGAAAAAGAGAAGGAATGAGAAATAATAAGAAAAAGAAGGGGACGAAAGAAAAAAAGGGAAGGAGGAACGAAAAAGAGCAAAAAAAAGGGGAAGAAGAACGGAAAAGAACCAGAAAAAGGCGTAAATGAAAAATCCATAAAATAAAGAATAGAATATAATTAGTATTTAGTATGAAACAAAATATAAAAAACAAAAATAAAAAGAAAAGCAAAAACACACCTTTGACTGCAAACTCGAAGAAAAAAACCTACTAAAGAAAGAAAAAAAAATATTAGAAATAAAAAGCAAGAACAAAAAACAAAGAAAAAGAAAAAGAATGAAAACTTACCTTTAACCATAGAGCCGAAAAATCCGAAGACCTAAAAAAAAAAGAAAGGAATTAAAAAACGAAAAGTAAGGAACGAAAACAAAAAAAGAGAAAACATACCTTTAAACACCAAATCAAAAAACCTAAAGACTTAAAAGAAAGAAAAAAAAGGAAAGAAATTAGAAATATAACATTGAATAAACAAATAAGAAAGAAAAAATAAAGAAGACATGCTTGATACCAAAGAAAAAAAATCCTGATGGCCAGCCCTTATTATCCACTGTCTTTTTTAGGCTATTTATTTGTTTAAGTAGAAATTCCATTATATCCTCGATTTCCTTTTTTCGTCTTTCATTTGTTTTTCTCTCATCTATTTCTTTCTGCTTCTCATAATTCTTCCTTGCAATGGCTTCACCTTCTCTCCTTTTATTTTCATCGTATTCTTTTTGTCGTTTCTCTTCTGCTTCTCTCGCAATTCTTGCATTTTCATCTTGTCTTTTCCGAGCTTTCTCGAGTAATTCATTTGTATACACTCCATCTATAGAGACAATGTGATTTTGTAATTCTTCGAGGCGTTGGTTATGTACAAGATTATTAAGCGTGAAAATATCTGGGCTCGGAGAAATAGCCCACCGATTACCCATGGAATTGACTAAAGCCTTCATTTCCCGATTCCAAGAAACATTTTTAAAATATTCAGGATCGTTTGTCTGCTTACGGTTACAATGCGAAAAGACAGAAATCATGTATTGGAGGGCCTCTTCACCGAAAAATAATTTTACTCTGTTGATTATTTCCTTTTGCTCTTCTGTGAACCGTTTTGCTTCTATAAATAACTTTTTAAACATATACCTCTCTATTGTGAATGTTATCATTATTATCCTCACTTACCAATTACGAATAATATGGCCTTAATCCCATAAGAACATTTTTGGATAGTTCGAGCAATTTCTTCTAGGACAACATCGTTGGGATCATCAGTGTCAAAAATCCCTGGCGTGTCGACAATGTTATAAATTTCGTTACCGATTTGTATATTCGCAAAACCTGATTTTTTAGTAACGGATGACTAATCATTTTTTAAAAGTTAGAAAAACTGGTATAAATGAAATTATTTAAATAGAGTACATTTATTTTTTATACTTACAAAGCTATCAGAAACAAGAAAAGTCGGGTTTTCATTTTCGGAGGTTTTTAACAATGAGTTTCCCAGAGTGCTTTTACCAGCACCTTTACAAAAGGATGAATTACATGTCTTCAATGGAAATAATATAAACGACCAAAATAAAAACGCAATATCAAGGTATACCTGTTTTCCCAATTAAGAGTATGACTGGTGAATCGATATCCGATAAATGCGATTTCAATTTAGGTCTAAAGTGTGAAAATCGATAAGTATTAAAAAAATATGAAATTTGAAAACGGATTTTATGTTCCTTACATATTATCTGTCATAATTATTCAGATCATAGAAATAATCGATTAACTAAAGAGAGGCGGGGCTTAATTAAAAGTTCAGAAGTAGAAGTTACCTAATAACACAATACATATAAATAAATATGCAAGAGTAATTAAAATTATAGTATTATGCGATATACCTGAAATGTCGGATCCGTAAAATAAATTTGTAGTAAATTTAAATACATTAATTACAAGATTATAAAACACAAAAATTGCAATTAGGGATGTTACATAAGTAAAAATGTTATTTTGGCCATTTCGTCTAGAAAATCGGTTATTTGAAGTAGATTGAGGTATAGAACGTCGACGTTGACTATTTCTTAATTCTAGTCAATTTATTGAAATAATATTGAGAAATATATTAAAAAAAAAAGAAAAAAGAAAAAAGAAAAATACCGTAATAATAATGTAATATTTAATAATAACAATAATAATACCTATATTGGTGTCTGATATTCTAGTTCTAGATGAACGAAGATTTTCCATTGTTTTTCTCAATTTATTTCAAAGACAAATAAATTTTCGAGGATAGAAAAAAATTCGTAAGCGAATTATGCTAAATTTGGATAACAAGGCGCATTATAAATGATAGACTTATCCTTATATAATCGTTCACGTGATAAATTTTCTATATCATAAGTTAGCGCAGTTTTCGTCCAGGTTCCCATTGGATCCGATGTGTAATTAGCTCGGATTCCATGTAATGGCGGCAGAAGTCATGGGTCCGGATGATTACAAATGATTACAAATCAAAAAATTCCAGATGTTAATCAATCGGACCCGGTTTACAAGCCGGGTATAACCAGCACTTAACACGGTTACATATAAAGTAAATTATAATTCAAATTCTATCAATTGCCGATCCGCTATAATGAGACATACCCAACCACTGATTTTGCTATATTAACGTAATCCCAGAAATTTGTGTATTTCCATTAATAGTGTAATTCTACATTCCCATTAAGGTGAACATAAAAATATTAAATATATAATTTCTAAAAAAATCAGAAAAAGTGAAATGAAATATCAGAAAAGTATAGTCAAATTAAACTTCATTCGTTCAACGGAAATGTAATCGATACTAGGCAAAGATTCCCATTTCACTTGACTAGGTTATCCCATACTCTTTTCCGACGAGAAAAAGAAACAAAACCTAACCCTACTTTCCCACATTTTTTTATTCTATTGAATGGTTAATCACTATCGCTATCTTCCTAACTACCATAGGTTTCCACAATACGTTTTTTGTTCCTATTTAATTCTTCTTTTCCGATTCGACAACTTCTCCTTTACCTTTTGATATCTTTAATTCTATCAACAAAAAGTTACTTGGAATCATTGAACCCGTTAGACTATCTGTCGCTTCAAGATATTGTTCATCCTCTGAATGAGAATTAGCGACGTTATTTGCCGTCTTTCAAATTTCCGGTTTGCTGAAGAATCTTTCTTTATCTATTAGTTCATCTTGCCCTTTAATCTGCAGTCCTGCGCCAATTTTCTCTTGCATTGCAGAATTATGAACGGCCTTCATCATATCCTTTTCGTCATTAAAGTATATTAATATATATCTGATATTGTTTATCTGTTATGTTAATTATTTTGGCGAAGTGTCCACTATAGATTTTTATATTTTCTTTCGTCTAATTTATCTTTCTCCTCTTTACCGCCTGCCAACTATATCAACTTCTAATTTCATCGCATCAAACATCCTAAAGAAATACTGTCCTTTTCTTGTTATATTAACCGCTCCTGTATATTATTTCTAAAACTTTGGTAAGGCGGATCTTAGCTCCAATGGTTATATATTTATAGTGACGTTTGACAGTTAGACTCTGTACATAGCCTGCTTGTTTTAAATTTCATAAATGTTGTCTTTCCAATACCATGGGAAAATTAGTACAATGACGATTTATAATTGCAAATTTATAAATTAACTTGGTGATAAGAAGAAAAAGAAATAATAAATGAACTTTGGAATTTTATTTAATACTAATTAAATTTATTATACCTCATTCGTAAATTCCAATGTAACACTCTTTGAATTATTTAAACTTTTAAATTCATCAATATCATTATTTCCACTAGTCCAATTTTCAAGATTTCGCTGAAAATGCATTGCGTTACATGTATAATTATGACTGAATTAGCTTAATACTTTAAGTATAAGAATCGTATAAGAATCCATTGAAATCTTTAAATTAAAATTAATAGGATAGTACATCTTTAACAAAAAAAAAAAGAAAAAGAAAAATACCGTAATAATAATGTGATAATATAATAATACCTGAATAAGTGGTGTCTGACATTCCACTTCCACTAGCTCTAGATGAACGAAGATTTGTGGCTGTATAATCCCTCATCGTTTTTTCTCATTAGATTTTGTAAACTTTCGAGGATAGAAATTTTGTATATTACCATTCCAATGCATATAAACAAAATGCATAACTTCCTAAATATGGATAACAAGGCGTATTATATAATGATCTATATGATTTTACATAAGTTTAGTGCGATTTCAATTTACATATAAATCGAAACATTGCATTAATTTCACAAATTTTGTTTTTTTTTATTTGATCAATAAGTAAATATAAATAAATGAATAAATTCATATAATAACAAGCCCATTATAATTCAACATTCTAATAATATTTCCTTCACTCGTCCATTTTTGATTCTAATAATTTAATAATGTCGGCACTTAATATATCAATAAATAGTACGCAATTTGACTCACATGACTCACGAACTGGTCAAAAAAAAAAAGTTAAATTAATAAAATTAATAAAAACAAAACCCCATAACAAATCCAACCGTACGAAAAAAATATCACTATTGGAATCGTTCTGGGAGAAAACGAGAAAAGGTAAACTGTTTTATTTGTTTAAAAAAACCTGTCACCTAGTTCAGAATTTTAAAAGAATTTAATCTTTTTTAGATTTTATTAACTAAAATCAACTCGAACAATCTGGCCTGAATACTTGTTAAGTATTTTTCAGTTATTAATCGTTAAAAAAAGTAATAATGTGAATAATACATTGATTTAATTTGTAATTTAAGAATAAAATCCGAAAAGTTCATTAACTGTTTGAAACAATGTCCTCATGAAATAAATATTTAATTTCTGCATAAATGATACTTTGATTGTAATATAGGACCCCGAAATATATATGTAGGGGTAAGGTGCATTATTGCATAAAATTTTACATCAATGGCAAATCACATGATGATCAGAGGTTAAAGTATTTTTTCTGATTAGAAAATTTTATGTACTAAACCTATTAATAAAAAATTTGAAAGTCACCTTACCTCTTTATATATATTTCGGGTCCTTGTATTATAACAATAAATTAATAAGAATATAGTAAATAAATCATACCTTAATTAAAAATGAAATGTGAATTTTTAAAGTTCTAAGGGGCTTCGTCACGTGAACTTTTTTTCCAACGTTGCATTCGTTGCAATGTAATGGGTCTTGTGATCTTTGTTCCATAGCTATTTTCAGAAATATACAGTTATTCAAAAATCCGGGACCATTTCCGATTGGTTTAATCATCGAGCGAGCGAGCCATATGTAATAATAGGCGCAGCTTAACCACTTTAATTAATATCTCTAATGGTGATATTTTTTTTATTTTTATTTTTAAGATATAGACATGACTGGAGCGTAACGTTACATAAGAATAGTTATAAACTATAAGTCTACTAAATTCTAAGCTAATGATGAAGCCCAACCTCTTGGGAGAAGCCCAAAGAAGTTGTCCTGCCTTGTTATTTAAAAAAACAACCTAGACATAACCTAAGTCATGAAATGACCGAAACCAAAAAAAAAGGAACAGCCCTATTTTTCTTTTCACCCATGTGGGCGACCACCTGTAAATACTGTCAGAGGTGGAATGATTCACACTATTCTTAATTGTTATTAAGTAGATAAACTTCGTGATAAACTAATAAAAAGTAAAATGATTAGAATAAAATGAAGGAAAAAGGGCTAAAAGTGAGTGACTCATTACAAAAAAATGTGTAATATAAATCTTTAATAAAAAGAAAAAAAGTTAAAATTTGTTCGATCCAGAGGCGGGGGAGTCGGTAGGGTAACCCATCACGTTTAAGTTGATCTTTATAAAGGTGATGATCGTTAAAGTTAATAAAACTGTCCCATTTCTTGGGATGAACTTCCAGTTCTTTAGTATCGTCGGAAGTGTCATTGTAAGCAATATCCTCAAGATGTGGGATCATATAATCCTTTGGTAAGGAGTTGATGTATTGCGTGTAACATCGAAGTTCATGATTATAGGCTTTATCCGAACAATTGCCGGTAGCATGTGTCATATACCGATGATAACGAGTTTGAACAGTTGTAAGGTAAGTCGTAGTGTCTAGTCGACGTTGAATGTGTTTAAGGCTGGTACCATGATCTTGGGATAACCTTAATCTACGGTAATCGGCATCTGAGCCTGGTTCTATGTCTCGTAATGCATAGAACCTGTGAACAGCACCTGACCATTCTGCTGAACCTGGAGGTAAATAATTTTGATGTGCATCATAAATAGGTGATCTGGGAACGAAAGGTTCGTATCTCTCTGGTAATTTCCTTAGACTCAAAGTCCACTCTAATGTCGCAGGTATTGGGTTGTAATTTTCCACAGTAGCCACTATGGTATGAGCTGGGTGTGGTGAAAAGGTAATATTACCTTTAGATGTCAGTAAGGTTATTAAAATTGTAGTTGTTCATCGAAATTTCTGATGAATTCGCCCTAAATTGGGGTGCGTTTAAAGGTACTGTGAATTTAAACTCGCTTGGGAACACTAGTTTAGGTTCGTCTAATAAAAGATGTTCTTTAGGAACTGAGGGTTAACCTAGAGGTACGTAGAACGGAACTTTGAAGGGGTGATCAGTAATATTAGGAATATCTGATGTGGATAAGTATTTAAGGTGTGAAATAAGTTTATGAACAGTTTGAGATTTGTGAAAAAGAAAATGATTATTTCTAGTGGCTTTAAGTTTCTCTCTGAAACTAACACAGGCCGAGTCGTAGCGTGTATTAAAAACTCTATTGCATTTGCGATTAAAATGATTCATCTGTTTCTTTTTGGTGCACGGATTAGGAGAAGGTATGAATTTGAGATCAAACATCCGTTTAGAGTACATATAACGGTATTGTTTGTGTATGACATTTTTGTTACTAGTAGCCATATATTTCATAGAGTATTCAATACTGAAGCATCGTGAAAAAATTCATTTTTCTGTGCCCTCGTTCCATTCGTTGAAGATTTTGTTGGCGTGTGAAGATTTAAAATTCACCAAAGGTGAATCTTCGCGATTATTTTGTTTAATAAAATGATAAAGGCGATTTCTAAAAAAAACTTTTTGATGGTCGATGCATGCATGTTGATCATTAGTCATCACAAAAGGACTAGGGGTACAACAAAGGTGTATGTCGTTAGACTTTTTCAAGCTCATTAGAGATTGACAAGGTACATAAAGGCCGAAGTGAAAACGATATCTTTTGTACGAGAAGTTGAAGAAAGTTTTAGAAGTTTTGTTGTGAATTAGACTTCTAAAGCGATAATGCTCTTCATTATCAGGTAGAAAAATATTGCTGGCACGTGACCGGATAATGTTTAAGCGCTCTAATAATTTTTGGCAAATAAGGTTGAAATATTTCTGTTGTATTCTACGTGGAATGACTCGTTGTAGAGAAAAAAAGTGCGTGAGCATTTTAATAATTTTAAATTTTGTGTTTGGAAAAGGACTTGATGATGTATACCGAATAGGGGTAGTATTCATGTTTGTGTGAATAGTAAGGTGAATATCATTGGTGCCTGAAAATTGATTGGCCAGCTCAAAAAAGTAACTTTTTGAACGCCTGAATTCATAAATCTTGTTATAACCGGTACGGTTATTATTTTTCACGTGAAATTTTTTTACTGAAATACTAAAACTATATTCATTAGGAGAAGGAATTTTTTGGACATTTTTTTGAAAAGAACGTAAAGAAATAGCCTCTATAGGCATATTACTATAGAGATAGTTTTATATTCCATCTCTGACTCTTTCAAGGGACAGGTAAAGTGAGAGGGAACCTTTCCGTAGAGGCCGTCCCAGGGTCCTCGCCTCTCAAAAAAATTTTTTCCTTTTTTTAAGGTAAGAAAATTTGTTTACTGCAGATTTTAATAAAAAAAATGGAAAGGGAAAGAGTTTTTGAAAAGAGCCTCTAATGGTGATATAAACGTCCAACGTTTAAATTGAGTAAAAAAATTGATTTCACGTGATTAATCAAAGGTTAATCAATTTTTGATCCACACATCTTCGATTCCTTGATTGCAGTCGATTAAGGCCGTTCTCAAGCACTTCTCTCAATGAGATCGGTAAGTGATTGAGATAATGCCTAAGAATTTCAATCAATTGAAGCAAAAATAAATAAAAATGGCATCAACATGAGAAAACATGCCACAAATTAGGAAATATAGCTTTTTTAGCCAATCAAATCGTTTGATGAATCATTGAGGGAGGTTCCTAGTTAACAATAACTTTACCAATTTTTGCCAATTTTGAACATGCAACAGAATAAATATTTAATACATTATTTAATTCATCAAGTTTTATATGGTAATTTATAAGTAGAGGTTTTGATTATAATATTTATTCATTAAATACACACTCAAAATTTGATAATGTCAATATTAGAGTTATACTCTATTTTTTTTTTTATAAATTATACCAAGGCTCGGAATGTTAGGCATGCCTATAATTATCAATAATTAACAATGTATTTATTATACATAGCCTATTGTCATGTGATCATCATGTGCCACTCCGAAATTTATCGATGTTGCAAATGTTTAACATGATTAACATGTCAGACATAATTAATATGCCGAACATGATTAACATGTCGAACCTAATTAACATGTTGGTTATGATCAACGTATTGAACATGTTAGTCATATTATACATAGTAGATATGTTAAATTTATTAGTATATGTATAATTTATTATAAATATAGGTCAATTTTCTTGTAGTAAAGTAAGGGAATAAATAAAGTTTTTATTTAAGTTATAAATTGATAGTTTTTTATCAAGTGAAATCCTTTATTCGTGTTTGGAAGTATATGCCGACGTACAGCGCTATACAACACGTCTGATCGGATAATTTTGATACATTGTTTAATATATTGTTTAATTATACACTAATAAACCTTCTGCTACCTAACCACATAAATTGCTTAATAAATTTAAGCGTAAAGAACTGATATCAAACAAACCTAATCAGATTCGTTTGGTTAATTTGGAATATGATAAATGTGATAGAGTTTATAATACAGTGGGTTGCCAAAAGTGACCGACCGCCTAAAAATTAATAAAATCAGTTATTTTCATTAACAATTTTATACTTATTTTAAAATTAGAAATATAAAAACCCTATTGGCCTATTTTGAAGTATTTTTATACTTAATTAATTTAATTAATAATAAAATTGTGCATAAATATTTAATTTTAATATGAAAAAAAAATGACTTTTTAACCAGAGTAGCTAGAGTAGAATAGATGCCAAAAATTGATTTTTCAACTAAAAATTAGCTTATTTTCAAAAAATCAGAAAATTTTAATCAGCAATTCTTGGAAAAATCTGCTTTTAAATCATGAATTTTGGTGAAATTTTATCGAATTTTTCTGATTTTTTGAAAATAAGCTAATTTTTAGTTGAAAAATCGATTTTTGGCATCACATTAAAATTAATTATTTATACACAATTTTATTATTAATTAAGTATAAAAATACTTTAAAATAGTTGTTATATTTCTAATTTTAAAATAAGCATAAAATTGTTAATGAAAATAACTGATTTTATTAATTTTTAGGCGGTCGGTCACTTTTGGCAACCCACTGTACATCTACTGCATTTTATGACGTACTCAATAAAGTTTTTATTATAAAATGTTAGATTAGTCTCTTATTATTAATAACAAACCAAATTACCGCACCATTTTTTTAATTATATAGATATGACATTAATCATTTTGTAGTTTTATTTCTAATTACTTATAATTTCTTCAAGTCACACCAAAAATTGTTCGTACATAAAATTTTCGAATAAATTAATTTATTAACAAAATATCATTATTTAGATTACTTTACTTTAATAAAGAAAATATTATCATCTAAACCAAATTTATTTACAATTTTGTACCGAAGATATTAAGTTTTCAATAAGTCGTTTGCCTTTTTCCATAGTATTTATAAATAAAAGGTATATAGTTTCTAAGAACTGAACATATGGAACCGAAGATATTAAGTTTTCAATAAGTCGTTTGCCTTTTTCCATAGTATTTATAAATAAAAGGTATATAGTTTCTAAGAACTGAACATATGGACGAAGCCGTTCTTCTCTTGGTATAATATAAGTCCACAAACGAACTGGTAAAAAAACCAAATCCATGAGCGTTTGTACACCATCAGCGATAACTGACCCAGCTCGTGTGTAGAAACTAATGCACTTATCATACATCTCCTGTTTAAAATATAAATGTAATTAATTATCAAGAAAAGTAATTTTATTATACTAATAAAAGATTGAGTATAGATTAAAACTTACGATTGTCACATCATCTACAAAGACCGAAACTAGTTTATTGTTATCATCTGATACCAATATCTTTGTTTCTCCGGGACGTAGATCTTTGGCGAATATAATTGATAAATTTTCATCAAAGACATAATGAGTAGTTGTAAGCCGTAATTGACCTAAAAAAAAGTAAAAATATGATATAAATAAATAATTTAACTTTAGTAAATCACAATAAAATCTAATAAATAAAATGCCTTTAGATCCATCTGATCTAATAAAGCTGACTTTAGCAAACTTTTCTTCATACTCGAGTTTTTCAATGTGAGCAATAAGATAAATTTCAGAGTATTCAGCAATACCATTTCTTATGTTTGATAACACCCGATCTCCTGTTTTAAGTTCTGACATTTGAATAATCTTTCCTGATTCAAGCTCGACTTGTATCTCAAGCCCGAAACAACTCTGATTCTTCTTGTGTTCAGCCTTTTCGCATTCAGCCTTTTCGTGTTCCTTGGTAAGATTGGCCACTTTCTCTTTAAGGTTCTCATTATCCTTGGTAAGATTGGCTACTTTCTCTTTAAGGTTCTCATTATCCTTGGTAAGATTGGCTACTTTCTCACCTAATATATTTATTTGTCTAAGTAAAGCATCCTTAATATATTTAATTTCCATTATTCGTCTTTCTTCTGCTTTTCTCTCGTCTTCTGCTCTATTCTTATCATAAATCTTCCTTGCAATGGCTTTGCCTTCTCTCCTTTTATTTTCATCGTATTCTTTTTGTCGCTTCACTTCCTCTTCTCTCGTTTTTCTTTCATTTTCTTCCTGTTCTTTCTGGACCTTTTCGAATAGTTCATTCGTATACTTTCCATCTATAGAGACGATATGATTTTGTAAATCTCCAAGACGTTGTTTACGTACAGGATTATTAGGAGGGTAATTTTCTGGATTCGGAGAAATAGCCCACCGATTACCCATGGAATTGACGAAAGCCTTCATTTCTGGATTCCAAGAAAACTTTCTAAAATATTCAGGATCTTCGGTCTGCTTACGGCTACAATGCGAAAAGACAGAAATCATGTATTGAAGAGACCCATCTCCTAGAAATAATTTTATTCTGTCGACCATTTCCTTTTGTTCTATCGTGAACCGTTTTGCTTCTATAAACATTTTAAATATTTTAATATATACACCTCTCTATCATGAATATAATCTCTATTCTCACTCACCAATTACGAATAATATGGCCTTAATCCCATAAGCACATTTTTGGATGGTTCGAGCAATTTTTTCTAGGACAACTTCGTTGGGGTTATCAGTGTCAAAAATTCCTGGCGTATCGATAATGTTATAAATTTCATTACCAATTTGAATCCTCGCAATACTAGAGTTCTGAGTAACGGCTGACTAATAATTTTGGGAATTAGAAACTAATATAAACGAAATTATTTAAACTCGAGTACATTCATTTTTTTTACTTACAAAGCTATCAGAGAATTTGAAAGTCGGTTTTTCATCTTCATAGGTTCCCAACAATAAATTTCCTAGCGTACTTTTGCCAGAGCCTTTCAAGTAAATGTATAATTATATTCTTAATGAAAAAAAGTTAATTAATTAAAAAGAAAGGTATGATATCAAGGCATACCCGTTTTTCCAATTAAGAGTATAGCTGGTGCGTTAATATCCGATAATGGTAATTGAGTCGGTTTCGGGATGTTGAAACTGTAATATTTCTTTGAAGTAAATTCAAATATATAAAGTTGTTAATGAAAATTAATGTAAATTATTATTAAAATTTTTCTTAAGAATAATTTCTTACATATATAAAAATTAAACCAATTAAAATCGACCCATAAACAATTTTTTGTTTATGTTGACTAATTTGTCTAATAAATCTAGTAAACTGGTCACAAGCAATATCATAAATAGTATTATTAACAATAGGTTGAGGTTGTACAGGAGGTTGACGTCGTCTATTTCTTAATGCTAGTCAATTTATTTATTAAAAGTAAGTTTGAACATTATGAATCTTTATCAAAAGAAAAAAAAAGAAAGAAAATGCCGTAATAATAATGTAATAATAATATTACTACCAAAATTAGCGTTCTCCATTTCACTTCCACTAGCTCTAGATGAACGAATGTTTCCCTTCTCAAAGGACAGAAATAATTTCGGTAAGAGATTGCCTATTTATGATCATATGATATATTTGTGCATCCTTACTTTCTAAATCTGGATAACAAGGGTGCAATGATCGATGGTCGATCACATGCTAATTTTCTACATCATAAGATATAAATCGAAATGTTTGAATAAATAAATATAAAGTAAATAACAAACCAGACATCTAATGGAATTGAATGGCAGACAATCAATATAGATACGACACAAGAGATGAGAATGGAGAATGGGTTAGATTCGAAACTGGAAACGCTAAAAACATGGTTGATGAAAACGAATAATTTCTTCCTTTTTGGTCACAAAATCATCAGTTTGGCGGAATTTTGTAAGAATACACCAACGCTCAACGATGAATTTAAAAACAGACTGAAGGATGAAAATCGTAAGACGGATGAAATAGAAGTTGGAGAGAAACGACCGATTGTGGAGTCGCCGTCACGAAACGAAATCCAAAGAATTGAGGAAGTGAGGAAGAAGAAAATAAAAGAATAAAGAAGAATTTAGGTAGGAAGTATCGGCTGAGAATTTTGTATCTTATAATCGAAGCCACGTGATTTAACGTAAAAAATATATTCCAATAACAAATGAGCGATAAGATGTAATAAATTAGCTAGGAGTAATTATGGTTTAGATAAGGAACTAAATGTGGGGAAGCGTTCGACCTAAACATTAGTTACATAGTTTTTTTTTACTAGATTAGCAAGAGCTTCTTTTAATTTTAGTTTCTTAGATTAGTTATTTTCTTTTTTTTTAAGTTGTTATTTTAGTTAGGTCCATTGTTAGTTTAGATTTATACGGATTTGTTTTTTTTTTATTTATTTCTTTTGTGTTTTTTATTGTATTAGGATAGATCGCTCTGTTATAGATTGGTTTCGTGTTTACACGGAACGGGTCTAGGTACACATGCCGATCAAAAATATCCGGCCACTTTGATTTGGCAAAATTATGTAGATCATGACATATTAATATGACGTAATCAACACGTTATTTTGTATTTATAATCATAATAAACATATCCCCAAACCTTATGTTTTCTAGAACTTTCTAAAAATATGAAGCCACTTACCCCAAAAACACGTGGTGCTATTGTTTATGGTCATAATTGTGGACAATCAAGTCGCACAATTGCTAAGCAGTTGGGATGTGGGAAAACAACTGTTAACGATATACTTAAGCGCCTTCGTGAAACTCATTCCTTAACACCAAAAAAACAACCAGGCCGTCCTCCACTTTTAAATTCAACAGCTCAGCAGGAACTTAAGAGTTTTGTTCAAGAAAATGGTGAAAACCGTCGGCTTTGTACAAAAAAGCTTGCAACAGTTTGGACAGCTCATACAAAACAGCCTATTTCTGCTGTTACCATACGTCGTAACCTAAAGAAAGTTGGGCTTACTGCTTGTATGCCACGTAAAACACCTGCAATGACAGAGGCACACTGTCAAGCTCGCCTCGAATGGGCCCATGCACATGAAAACTGGGGAACAAGACGGTGGAGGAGAGTACTTTTTTCAGACGAAAGTACTTTTACACAATTTCAACAAGGCCGTCAGGGAAGGGTATGGCGTGAACCTGGGGAAGAATTAAACCCTGACTGTGTTGCAGTTACTGTAAAACATAGTCCCAATAAAATGTTTTGGGGGTGTTTTTCCTGGAATGGGCTTGGACCAATTGTTCCGATAAATGGTTCAGTTACTGGACAAACCCATGCCAAAATTATTAATGATTATGTCATACCTACTTTGCATGACTTTTTCCCACAAGGTAACGGAATTTTCCAAGAGGATAATGCCCCACCACACCGTTCAAAAATTGCAATGACCGCCCGTGAAAATGCTGGAATTGTGGTTCTCAATTGGCCGTCACAAAGCCCTGACCTAAATCCGATTGAGAATCTTTGGTCGGAGATGAAAGTAATGGTACGTCGTCGTACTCCACCACCATCTAGTATTAAAGTCCTTGAAAAATATGTTAAGGATGCATGGGAGGATATTCCGCCGGAATATTATAAGAAATTAATCGATAGTATGCCCCAAAGAATTGAAGCAGTTATTGCCGCAAATGGCAATAGAATTAATTATTAAATATTATTAATTTTTTTTATAATTTAATAAATTGAGTCATAAATAAATATATTTTATTTAAATTTTTATTTTTGTCATATTAAATTTATAAATTTATTTCATTTTGAAAAGTGGCCGGATATTTTTGATCGGCATGTGTATTTCGATATTGGATATACTATCTTTAATAAAGAAAAATGCGTTACAGTTGCTTAAAAAATAAAAAAATATATATATATAAAGTAAATAACAAAGCCTATTATAATTTAAATTTCATTAATTGCCGATCCGCCTATAATCACGACATAGTCAAGTTTATCTATTTTTATTCAAATTTCTTGAAATTTTTACTGTATATCTTAATGTAATTATTATAAAGTACATAATTTTACAAATTTGCTTATAAATTAAAGAATATGGAAAGTCATATAAAATCTATCATTCCCCTATAGATAAGTCTATAAATTATTAGCCAAATTAGCTTAAAATTTTTATTAAAAAAAACTGAGATTATTCAAATGTTTAATATGTTTCTTATAAAATTTAAAATGTTACAAATAATCTTTTAAAGTCACAAATTAACATAATTTTAGCATAATTTGAGAAAAATAGCCCCACTTTTTTTTAATAATACTAAGTCTAAAAATTTATTCATAAATACTTTTAATATATATTACTATAATTTTTAAAAATAGTAATTTAAAAAACAGTGAATATTTTATAAATTGAAATAATGACTCCAAAATCTGCAAAAATCGCAAAAAAAATATTTAATAATCCTGTGGGGTAAAATTTTTGAGAAATTCTAATATTAGCTCCTCTCAATAAAGTATATATCTCAAATATTTACGAGGTATTTCTAAATTAATAAGTAAAAAAAAATTTTTTTTTTATTAATACTTCTCATTACACGTGAATAATAATTAAAAAATGTTGGTGGTCATCCTTTTCCATTTTTTCGATTTAATATTATTATTTGAAATTCAATAAATTATTAAAAGCAAAAATATACATAAATATATATCTACTCCATTTTAAGTTTAAATTTATAAACAATTTTTAAACCTTCCTTGCGGAAAAATTATTGTTAAGCAGAATAAGTTATATAGTAAAATTTTCTCTGATAATGTTTAGATCGAAAATAATAAATCAAAATTTATAATTTCACTGCAACTATGTTAAATTGAATAATAGATTTTATTGCTATTTTGATCTAATAAAAAGATAGAAATATAAATTAGGTATGAATAAAAAACAGTTTACAATTATTACTACAAAAGTTTACCATTTTCGTTTTCAATTTTTAAGAAATATCAATTTGTAAATATTCAGTTTAATAAATCAAAATTGAATTATTAATATTATTTGTTTCAGAATTTTTCAGATTGAATTCTGAACTGTAAGTAGTCCATAATAATTTCTTCTAGTAACAGTATATAAAGCTCATATCTAAAAAAAAACAGCTTAAATATGGTTGATACAAGAAAACCACCACCATACTGATGTTTCAGCGCCAAAAAAAAAAAATCATAAAAATCTTTCCTTTTATAGATAATGCCTTGTGCAAATCCATTACCTTTTTTGAATACTGCCCGAAATTATCATAATTCCGGCCCTTAAAAAATACGTACAGTTAATACAGTAGTAAATGTTTCGGGTCCTGAAATTATATTGGTAATTATTAATATTTTATCAAAATAATTATATTCTTAAAAAGTGCATAGATGTTTACCAATTTGGGCTCATGATATTCGTGTTTATAGTTTTTTAAACTCAAAATTTATAACTATTTAAATTTTTTTTAATTGATGTAATAACTTATTTGGTTTCTTGTCAAAACAAATTAATTATATTGTTGGAAAATTTTTTATATTTACACTCAATGTGTAATATGTTGTCAATATGGCTTTCCGCCAGAAGATCTCTTGTTCACACTTACAGCAAGGCCAATTGTTATTCCTGGATTCAAAAAGATAAATATCAGCGTTCCTTTACAAGTAGAATCATTGATTGAGTAAGCGATAAACGACTTAAAAAATTTATTTGCAAATTTAGTCTTTGATAAATGATGATAGTATAATTTTTTTTATAGGTTTCATTTTTGAAGAAATCGTACTTCACTCGCTCCTGTTGATACCGTTTTGGTTGCTGCTTCAACATATCCTTTGTTATCTGTCAAAAGGATCCTTATAAACTATAATTGCAAATTAAATAAAATTATTAATTAGAATCATAGAATTTCTTGACAGTTTTACCTAACTCCTTAAATACATGTGACTTGCTATTTTCGATATCTATCTACTCTTGATGAGCTATGTTCTGTTAATTTCTTTATCTCTTTTTGTGTATATGACTAGTAAATAAACAATTTGTTAACTCCTATTAAAAAATTTGGTTTTTCTCAATTTCAAGTTAATAGCATATTTAATATTTTTATATTTTTACGATCAATTCCGATTATTAAAGAGTTTTGCTAAATATTCCTGTTGGAAGAATTAAAAACGTCATGAAACTCCGGCCACTAATATCCTCTAATACAGGTACGACGATGGTTACCAGCATATTTATTAATACTTTTAATGTTAAAAATATTAAAAAAAAAAAAATATAATAAAAAATTGCTAGCGATAATCAAAGATTTTAGCATCAATTTCGTTAAATGCAACATCCAGTCAAATTCAGCTGATTGGACACAATATCATCCTTCATGTTTGGCGATGAAATTTTTTTAAACTTTATTATAAATCACCTATTTAATTAATGAACAATTTTTAAGTTGGTTCTATTTTTTTTTTTTTCTTAACAGGACTGAATAAAGCATCTAATCTTTGTATAGTCCTATAAAAAATTTTATCCGTCATTTCCGTAAAAACTCTGTAAAAATGTGCCTTTCACGGATCAATTCACAGAAAATATAAATAATTCGATAAATTCCGTGATATAAGGTTATTAATTCCGGAAATATGAGCCTTTTACGGAAAAAGGACGGAATATAATAAACGGATCGACTTTTTTACAGGGTAAGCAGTGTAGGCGATAATAATTTGAATCAATCTGATTGTGGAAATGCGATAAAATGGGATCTTATGGTATCTCAAAATTGTTTTTAATTTTAAATCCTTTTAAAAAAAAAACTAATCAAAAATTTATATAACTGAAATTTAAATAGGAGAATATCAACTGATTTTGTAAATTCGAATTGTGCTTCCATGATAAAAAGCCGATCCAGATAACCTGTAGCGACAGTTTTTGAATCTATCATTAGAACGAGTCTAATCTCTTGCGACCGGTTATTGGTCCATCCAACATCCCTATAAAAAAATTGGATACGTTTTTTATAAAGTTTTTATACGATTTTTTTTCCTTAGAAATAACGTATCATAATAGGATACGGAAAAATGCACAATTCCATATCACTAAAAATATGGTTTG